ACTGGATGAGGAACTGACCGGCTAAGAATCACGAACTGTGAAGTATACGCGTTCATGAATAGTAGCTTTTGGCGACCGCGGGGCAAGCTTAATCCAAAGCTCCATGTGGTCATCAACGATAATCCTTGGTTGAAAAGGACCGACAAGCTGCCACTTTCCTAGGGCCCTTGGTGAAGAGTATCACTGGGATGCGAAGATCACCCTGCAGGAGATAATTTTGACACCAATCACAATCAACTGAATGAACTCAATGCTCGATGACGATATACCTTCGATCTATTCTTATTGATTATCACCGAATGTTCGTGTCTATACTTAGGTCTGATAACTCTTCGATGTCCTGGATCAAGTTGACAAGTGGAATGATTGAACTCTTAGACTCGGATGCTCAGATTGTGAAATATAAAAGGCATATGTAGCTAAAGGATTTCACTTAGGAGTCTGATTCAAGTCCAAGTAGGTGAAAGAGTAGGTATGTATGTATAGACCTGCATTCGTTTTCTTCCCACGCATTCGTATTGAATTGCTACCCATTTCTGTACAAAGCAAGGCGAAAATTGGTAAAGCCAATTCATAATTGACTGAACTTAATTAGCATACCAGGATGGCTGCTTGCAGAAATCATCTCCGAGGATTTCCATTGGCACGAGCCACGATGATATCCTTATCACCTCGCAGTTGCCTCGCATCTACGCCGCGCCGCAGGGTAAGATGTGCGATATCCATTAACTTAAACACTACCTGTAGAATAACGAACATATACCATATGCTCACTGTACACACTTCTGTACACAATATGACAAAGATAGTTTTGTTGGTTATTATGGCACGAGGAGACGGATAGTCACATCTCCGTCATACTTTTTCACATTTCAGCCCGTTCATGCTTGTCGTGCAAGAGACAACCTCTAATGAATTTGCCTATTCTCATCAATGTAGAAGCGAGAACGCCTTCTCGGGAGATCATCTGCCGCATATCAAAAAGGGCTTGTGAGTATCCGAAACATGGCAAATCTCTAGAGATACGGAGAATTGATCATGTTCTATGACTGTTTGACTGCGAGTAGGTAGTTGAATTAAACGCCAAACGTCCTTGAACTTACCGAGTTTCAAATGATGATTATACTATACTTACTATGCGCGATCGTGCGAATTGATTGATCATATTGATCGTGTTTTACTAGAATTCATTTTGTACCCGTATGACAGGCTATGCTTTTATTTTCCAGCCTCCGCAGTTGCTAGACTACTCCAGGTTTCTTCTCCGGGAGGGGGTAATGAAGGGGCTTCGCGGCGTTATGGTCGCACTCTAGCGCAGCAGTGTTCTCTAGACGAACATACACACATAAGAAAGCAACAAATAAATACTGGCTGTTCTCTGCTTTCCAGTACCTTAATCCGGCGTTCCTCAATAGTGTCGTGCTTGTAAAAAATGATGCACAGTGAATAAGATGCGGTCACACTACAGCCGAGTAATTGGATATGGAAGAATCTTTAGAAGGTTACCATGTATTTTGTGTCTCGTCTCTAACGGTCCACACAGCTTGTCAGATACGAAGATACTTCCAACCTTCCACCGATGGTGTGTGTACTAAGATCTGCATTATCCGAAGCAAGAGCGATCATCACGGCGCTTTTCAGCTTTAGCTCCATCTCTACCCCTACTGGCCTACTGATAGAATAATGGGGAACAAGCCAGATGATGGCAAAGCAGGGGTACTCGACTCGACTGAACCCAATATGCTGGCTGTGGATGCAATCGAGCCTCGTGTTTGGGTAGTGTGCCTAGGGATATAGCGCTGCTGGGTACGAACTTAGAAGATTGGTAGGAATGGGCTTTGGAGGGTATGAAGTAACTAACGACTGGGTTCAATGTGATGACGAAAAAAGGGTGTTACAGTCGAGTGTGCACTGTACAGTGCCACAAGATTCTCGGTGAGTCGGCGTACCGTAGTGGATGATATCCAGTGGAATATTTTCGCGAAGCCCCTTCATCTTCTCATTACGATATTTGTACCACTCCGACTCCGAAGTTCTGTTTTGTATCCAAAGCCCAAAATAACAGTATTCACACGGCTCACAATGTCTCTTGCCATATACTCATTACTCGTTGGCATAATGATTAATTAAATGCCACTCGTTGATACATGAATCAATACTTCATCAAATTGACCCAATTTTCGAATCATGGCCAAAAGATTAGGATGCTCAATGATCCTCAAGAACCTAGATATGTACCTAGATATGTACCTAGATTGATGAACCCAGATCATTCAGCCCAAAATATTCAGCTCCTTGAAACATATATTTATCTAATTCCCGATGAAGCTTCAAGACCGAAATTTGTTTATAATCATACGAAAGCGCTTTTGCACCAATTAATATATTTTTCGATTTATTTGCTCAAAAAGAATCCCTACCTAAAAAGATTAAATCAAGATTTGAACCGTCAACACATCTCATTCTCCTCAAGCAAAATCCCGTATCCCTTGCGCCGGGATGATCATGATCTAACGGCACTACTCATGTTAGGTTCCAATACAGAAAGAAAAACATGGTCAACACGGGCCGTAGTAGTGGGAAAAGCGTGGGAAAAGTGTGGGCAAAGAGTGATTATCGTTCATTGACAGGAGCATGAAAGTCCCACAGAGGGTGGTAGAGATTCGAGATGGGCTTCAGACGGCACGGGTAACATTCTAGAATGTCTCTAAGATCATATAATGATAGCTTAAGGCCCTTAAAATGAAATTAGACAGTAACTCGCCAATAGAACACGAACAATACATCACATTCTGTTAATGAACAATCAATCAAATTGGTCTCGCCATTGAATGGTTTTATTGCCATCACATCATACTGCAACTGTGTCAAATTCTTCTCCGGTCCCACCCAAGCATACAATCTGTCTTTATGAATTAGAGCTTCGGATTTGAATTCCTCTTATCTACATTCAACATGTTGTACAAAAAGAAAATGTTAAAATATGACCTGCAACGTCTAAAGTAAAAATAGCGACGATCTCTCTCTCGGCGGATAAAGAAACAACGTTCCCCATTACTGATAGACATTCATCACAGGGATGAAACTCTATTCGTAAGCCGGTAGGCCTTCCATGGCCAGAATATCCTCGAGAATATCATCAGCATTGCAGGAACTGTACAGTGGGATGGTAACCCCCAGAATTCCGTAACTTCAAGATCATTTCTCTACCGGCACTTCGTCAAGTCGTGTAACAAAAGATAATCTCACTGCGCTGGCCACAACATTATATTTCTTCAAGCCTCGACAGGCAACTTCGCTGTTTAGAGGGTTTTGACGATATCATGGATATTCAATCAAATGTTAGACTCGTCTCCATTCAAATGAGCGGAGGGGAAACCCTGTATCATATCATTCATCCCAACCTTTATCACGGACCCCTCCATCCTCCAAGCGAGCACCGGCAGAGACAAGCAGTGGGCGATCGCTGGAACAAATGTAAGGGTGCTAGAGAGCAAGGGGAATGCTCTGTAAGCCGCTTTTCCAGAAACTCGTTCAATTTACTCCAAACTGACTTGCATTTTGACTGGTTAGTTGCAACGCTTATTCGTCCCAAGAAAGACGGATTGTGTCAAAGTATCAACAGTGCACCGGCGATTCACTTGATCCTTCAACTGTAGCAAATCCCGCGAACAGACTCTTGTGAGTTATAGGTGGCATAATTTCTACATGTCACGATTGTACCTTCCGATGAGTTGGGAAACTATGAGAGTTTGTAGATGTAGATTGCAAAGTTTGAAAGCTAGCATGCATATACAACTACACCTGCATAACCCAAGGAAATACAGAACACGAAATTGATCCATCGCCCGAGTTATTGCCACGGTAGTTGCCAGAATAACCCATACTGTGCTATATCATATCACAGAGGGTACTGTACACATTTTTAAACAATCCTGCACATTAATACTTAGGTAGGCCTCAGGTGTCTCGAGAGTGTGCTGCAGCTAGAGCTGTCAGAACTTTGAAGACTCAAGCCATACCCTGGAACTCCACTAAAATTCATCGTCAACCCTTCTAATGTTAATCTTTCAAGGCTTAAGAATCTCCAATTTCCAACAGAGCATTGCTATGCTAATTTGCCGATAGAGCACTGAAAGTAGGGTTCATACTAGCAGATCCCAACTTGGAATCACCGTTTGCGCGTCACCTCGTCTCATATCTTTTTCTTAGCAGGTCGCCAAAAAACCTAATCCCAAACATGTTGAAGTGACAGGCAGGGTCACCCTTCAAAACCTGAAAATTTATGTCGAAAGAAGGATCCACGACATCTAAATTGGGTTATGCTCCGAGGCATGCCTGTCTGCATTAAACAAGCATCTTTACCCTAGCCAATCCCCTCCAATCCCCTCCACTTGCGGGTGCATAACGAAAGTAACGGTCATTGCAGGCATGAGACCCCCTGGACCCACCCTGGACAATCCTGAAAATTCATCCACTGCAGTGCCTGCACGTCCACATCGAGCACGCAGTACCGGTCGAGCAATACCAAAAGGCGGCGAAATCCCGTAGACCAATATGAAGCCAGACTGTCGTCCGGATCATCCCATCCATCGAGTATTATTATTTGTGCCAAGTTTGGGGCATCTGAAGTCACAGTCCCGGAAGGTAGACCCACACCCAATTTGTGACAGCAAGTGTTACTCTGGTATCCTACCAGGATCTCTTTGGTGGATTCGCGCTGATCGCCCACACCCATTGCCCTCGGGAGATCTGATATTAAATATCTATCGATCCCTCTCGTCCTTCAAAAGCCGTATATTCGCAGGCGTATCTTGAAAGGAATAGGTTCAATCACTTCATATATACCACCGGCCCAGTGAAACATACGAAAACCCTCAAAATAATCATCTAATTAACTTACATCGATCTCTTGCATTCACCTACTCATCAACTTCTTTTCGAACTTTACAATATCCGGCGTTAGACATTTTCGATCTTGATCCGCTTCATATAGGGTTATGAATCTCTCTAGTCTTGTTCACCAGCGAAAAAATCATCAACAACAACATTTTTCTCACTATAATAACACATCAGAAGCAATGGCATCATCGATGGTTTCAAATCCCTACACAGTCCATCCTATGGCTCAACACTCTTCCTATACATACGTTAACGCACCTCAACCACCACCTTCACCACCCGTCGACGAAACTTCAAAGTGTTCCCTACCATCCATTTCAAGTCTATTGGGTTTGGCCGATGGATCTAGTCCTACAGAGCAAGTTCAGCAACAGTCATCGCCACAACAAGGTCAGTGCTTTCAGATCTTCTCCCGTGTTTCAAATAATTGATTTTGTCCCTCAGCAGCTTTCAAGGAAGATTATAGACCTGATTCTGGACATCAGTACGGTCCTTCTTCAGCAATGAGCTCTCGAGGTGCTCTTCCACCCACACCTCCAATGCAATCTGACGGCGGCTTCGACGGCAGACAATCACCGCCTCAAGCATCTAGTTCATCATATCCAGTAGTCCCCGCACCAAACTATTATTTTAATCCTTCTCAAGTCTCGGCCATCAATAATATGGAGCCTCACGCACAACGTCAACCAGTCCAAACTGTTACTCGAAGAGTTTCAATGCCAGTGTCTTCAATGCCATATGGTCATTCGCCGTTCAACGGATCCTACACTATGTCACCTGGCGCCCAATCTTTGAGCTCTTACTACCCGAGCCCACTGCAAACACAATCTCCTCAAAGTTCTGGACTATACTATCAAAGACCCCTTCCACAGGTATGTTTATTCCTTCATTATCATCAAGACACAAGAAGTAGTGTAACTAATTCCTCCATAGCAATTCCCTCCACCAATGATGCCAGTGTCTGTGACTCTAACTCCATCATCCGGTGCTAATCCGTGGCAACACCATCATTATATCTCTCCTTCGTCAGCAGCCTCATTTCCTCAGTCACAGGACAGATATATCTGTCAGACTTGCAACAAAGCTTTTTCGAGACCATCGAGTCTCCGAATTCACAGCCACTCACACACTGGCGAGAAACCCTTCAAGTGTCCACATCAAAACTGTGGGAAAGCCTTCAGCGTTAGGAGTAACATGAAGAGACACGAGCGAGGTTGCCACAGTTTTGAAAGCGGCTCAATGATCTGAGTGCTATCTAAAGAGGTCGAATGGCGATGACAGATGGTCTTTTTTTTTCACTTGTCTATAATGTATAACTAACTGGGTATTGTGTGGGATGGCTTTCCTTAATCACGATACCCGTCCTTATGGTCTATATTTCCTATTCTTGGGAGGATTTGTATAATTATGAAAGGCGTTTAGAAACACCGGAGGCTGGATAATATCTGCGGTCCGCATTTACATGGGCGTTAATGGCTATTAGTTCCTCTGAGGTTACGAGAGAACGGATTCGAATGTAAAGACAAGGTTGAGACGAAGAGATCGCAAGGTCTCGAGGTTGCTCTGGAAAGAGAAAGGGATAGGAAGGCGGAGAACTTCATAAAGAGATGCTTGGAAATACATCACCATTCTCTAGAGGATAGATAGATGATAGTGTAAAAGTAATGGAATCAATTCAAAAGCATTACCTGAAAAGGACGAAGAAACATCTCTCCTGCAACTTGAACTTCCAGATTTTTTCAAGTTGGGTCAAATTTTTATTCATAGAAAGTGTTATAGACTGTCATTGTTTCGCACCATAATCTTTGGATCTACAAATCTGTTCCAACCACAGCTACAAGACAAAGACTTTCAAGATTCAAATTTCTACAGGATACTATCATACATCCTGTGCGCAACGTCTGGCACTCAAGTCTATCGCAGATGTCTCGAAAGTAGCTTTCATCAGATCCACTCCCATCCTCTCTACATGAAAAAAATTCAAATAATAAGAAAGAAAAAGGAGCATCACACTCCACTTCCTCTCCACTCTTCCATCTTTGCAAGAAACGTTGCAACTTACTACGGCATTTGAACGAAAGAACCTAGACTTTAATCCACAGTAGACCTCAATGACCCAAAGTGCAAGAAGATCCGATCTACTGCATCCTGGGACCGTCCGCCCACTATCAACGGTGGCTATGGCCATCAATGGCAATCAAATTGCGCCGTTGCGGGAATCATTTACCCACTTCTTTGTGATTCTCTTGCCACGGTGCCTGCTTCTCCCTTCGTATTTCTACCTGTCGGCTTTAGTAATCATGTATGGAGTCAGAGGAACATCTCTAGTAAAGTTATTTACTCTGTCCGAATGCCACACTGGTCATTGTGCATTGAGAACCGTTAAGGTTCGAATTATCTGCGACCGGGAACTTCGCGGGAAAAGTAAGTTAACACTAATAAGATTGACAGATACGTACTCTAGACGATGATCTACGATTTAGAGGATTTCTGATTCAGAGATTGACATCAGTCCTTGACCGTACATATCAAAGTTCAATAGTGCGGTAAAAGAGTTTCGGCGCATGTGAGGGGAACCTGGGAAGCAAATCAAGTTCTAACTTTGGTCACTTGAGTGAACAGCCGAGCTACAAGCCTGACTGGGACATCAACTCTATTTTACAATGTGTGTGGTTGAAGTTAACAGTGACGAAATCTAAATCCCGAAAAGTGCATATTCAGGATTTGCAAATAGCAGATACCTACCTGTGGGCTCGTGAATTCAAGATCCGGGACCTAGAGTAGCATTTGCTCCAGTTTGCGTATTCGCTCCACTGTGCAGGAAGTATGCAAGCGAGGGTATACAACAGAGTGTTTTCAAAATTCAGAAATTCCCGCCGTTTCCGGGAACTCAATACCACTTACTCGCCGCAGAGCTTTACCGCAAAGAAAAGACTCACACCAACAAGGCCTGTCCCTTCCGTTCTCAAGCCCTCAGACGCTATAAACACACTACAGCGAGATGCCAAACCGTCACACACAACTAAACTTCATCACCAACGCCCTGAATCCACTACCCACCCTCCCAATTCAAGGAATTCCCCGCGATCCACTCTCACATAGCACTTTGATTCACTTTTTAACTCCTATCCGCCTGACCCCTTGCCACAAGGCCTGTACACATGTCGGGTTTTTATTACTGAAGAGTCAAGACAAGTATGTACGATTGCACATCCTATCCCTCAAACACATCGCTTAGAGCTATCGACAAGCTACCCATCGCGAACTATACCCACTGAGGTCGTGTCAAAGTCGTGTCAAGCCATGTTGCTTACCCACACATTGGCACTGATAATCGACGTTTAAGATTCTCTCCATCGACGCCCCGTAATCTTCATCTCTGGTCCCATACCCGAACGCAGCAACCGTACCTCTGTATCGGCAATAACAGCTCTCAGATATAGCCCAATTCATGATTCATTCCCGATTCCAGCATGATCCAAATCTCTCGATCCCAGAAGGGGAATGCATTGGAACTTTCTTCAATATTGACATCCATCGGAGATTTGATAGGCCACGCAATATATTCATCGATTCCATCTCCTGTACTCTAGAAGATATTTAATCCTTCGGTATTGCCAATTTTTGTTGACAAATCGTATAAAATGCTTAATATACTGATACCTAGATAATTTAGTCGTTATTGAAAAGGTACTATAGGTGGGGATGTAAGGGGTCAAACCACCCGCCAAGCCCATTGACACTCATCTAAGCCCTACAACGTGTCTGAATTGATCAATACACGCACGGAGTACATGCCCAAACTTTAATATTGTATTCCCTCTTTGATGATATCAAATATCAACATAAATTAAAAGTCCAGGAAGTACTTCCCAAAGCAATTCGACGTGTTTGCAAGCATCGCGGGAGAAGAACGGAAACACTAATTTCACCACGTGGAATTTTTTAATGGGCGAGGGATAAGCTTCGGGGATTAGGTTTATTTTCTTCTTGGAATAATATGTCGATATTAATTGATGTTCAGGTACTACCGAATGGAGCATTAAGATGGATCTTATTCATTAACTATACGTAGTATAGACTTGTGCTTGCGGAAATTTGTTTATGGTATATTGGGGAGAATTAAGATACTAACTAGTATCTCGCTCTAGTGACGGCAACTACCTCTGTAAACATTTTTAACGTGAATCAAGTCACCGCTATTAGAACCCACCACACTACTGGTGTCTAACGGACGTTTACCTGTCGTTCTGGCAATATATGTTTCAGAACCCGCACAGAGGTCTAAGATCTGCCAGCACCTCTGGGCACTGACTCGTCAACAAGCGTCCTGCACGCAAAACGGTGAAGAATTATGAATCAATGGACATGGGAAAAAGAGGAGGACCCGGTATCCTGTCAATTTTCTAAACTCCGTAGATGCTCAACCCTGGTTTTTGCGGGTAAAATTAAGTTCGCAATCGATCTGGGTCCTGGCTCCATTTTTCATCCCATGCTCTCATCATGCACTGGCAATAATCCGGGATACCTCGTTGCTACGTATAATTTACATATGCTATCAAATGATAAATTTCAAAATTGTGCAAAGGCAAAAGATATCGGGTGAACCGTGGCCCATTAACAATCCGAAATACCTCAATTTCCCCGACACTTTAACTCACCCGAATACTTCCTCCAATAGCCCAAACAAAACCATAGCAATATATATCATACCGACCCCCACGCGCACCCTCGAATCCCGCCTAATACCCCAAGATTCCACTCCTTCGAATGTAACACTACATATGATAAACGAGCTTTCAAGTCGAGACATTATCCGTGAATCATCGTACGATGTTTTGACATGTCCCAGGTACTTAAATCTACCCAAGCTTCTTTTTCAGGACCTATCTCCCCCAGCCACATTATTCCCAAATGACGAGTGAAATGCCCCGGAGGATGTGCATTTGTCGAAGAAGATCACGGTAGCCTTTACCGAGATGAGATAATATGCTTTTCTGGGAAAAATGTCTCGGATGCCCTGGTTGGTGAATACGGTATGCTTAATTGAGGATATAATCATGTACTAGGAAAGAATCTCCGGGAGTTTTCTGGAAAATTGTTTTCTTGGGTTTTATGCTTGCCCAATAATTGGAGATGATGTGGGAATGAATGGATATTGAGATCGAATAGGAATTCTATGTAAATGTTGGCCAGGGGTATACGTCATATTCTGCAATTTTGTGAGTTTCAATGCTTCGTCTTCGAGAATCTTCCTCCTTTCTGAATCATTCTGATACCACGAAGCCATCCTTGTTGACATTTTTGTGATGAAGCAAAATACCTTGTCCATGGTGGCGGACAGCTCAGAAAGTCGGCTCACCGGGTGATTGCCATGTAAGTAAGATCTTGTTAGGCGATCTAGATGTGATGATTCCCTTCAATCTTGCTGTAAAACGGAGTAGTCAGATTTAATGTACAATTGATTCAATTCGACATTATTTAAATCGCCAGCATGATATTATACTGTCAAGAGGTATCAATAAGTCTTGTTCATAATCTTATCCCGCTACTAAGAGGAAAGATTTTGCCGAGGTTTGCCGCATGCTTTTTGTCATCGAGTAGTAATACGACAGAAAATCTTGGCTTTTCAGGCGATGGAAAGTATTTACGTCAACGAATCAAAATTTCATGATGGCAGGTGATACTAATTGATCTTAGATATAGGAGGCTTCGATAGGTTTGATTAAATCTGTTGCGAGCCAAAGCTGGCAATTTTTGAGCTTCGCTTCTCATGACCATGATAATCGACGCCGGTACCCCTAGCTTCATGTATGACATGTCTAGGATGTCTATATAATACATCAAAATCTATTGCTCGATTCACTAATTGAGGATTTGAAAGGTTGACAACGAGCAAGGTCCATTGCGGTTTTCTGACTTTGTGTACTTCATGAAGCTGTAAAATCCAAATTCGAACACAAGCCAGACGCTTAATCAATGAACTGATATTTGACGAGCTCTGTTCCAAGCTGCATGATTTTATTTAGTGGGTCAAAAATCCCAAAGGAGCAAATGACAGTCAATCTAGACCAAAGATAACGCGAGATGTGTTCAGCGTTGAGGATGACCACGATGACCTGCAATAGAACAAACGTGTTAAAGTGCAGCAATCGCTCAAAGGGGGAAACTACACAAGCATTATGCTGAGCATTATTCGAAACAACTGAGATAACGACTAGGGCCATAAGAGGGATGAATGATAGTAACCAGATAAGAAAGTAATTCGTTTGAGCTCGTCTGCTTCTGAGAAATAAAATATTCTGGAGAGTGCTCAGAGGGGCGATGATGTAGATTGAAACGGCGCAATCGATATTGCACTATATCAAGCTTTGTTGATTAAGTCATGAGTATGCAGGAGGAGAAAATGCGCGTCTCTGAGAATTCTAGATTCACGTTGTCGATCTTGATGGGCAGGGCAATCACAACGCTTGAGAATAAGAACCGTTAAAGGTATGCTGTAGAAGGTCAGCCTTTTTTTGAATCAGATATATGTAAGCGGTGCTGTGTGGAACTTGTAATTAAAGTGTCCCTCGATCTTCTTCCTCAATGCACGCATACTCCAGCTCCTTGATCAAGCGAAGAGACTCTTTCCCTTTCTAGATCTTCAAACCATCCTTCCCCTCTCGTCCCCAACATTCCTTTCATATTCATTTAGTGGCCCCTCTGTCTCCATTACGGATCGGCGTAAGTATTGGGATCTGCAGGCCACAAATCACGGCTTAAGTTTAAACCGTTTCCGGAGCATGCAGCTAATTTACACGTATGTCGATGCAGGTGGTCGTTTGATGTTGATAATGAAAAGTTACCAGTACCTACGTGTTTCGTACATATATTTCCGCCGGGTAAATAGACATGGTCTCAACAACCCAAGCAGGCTTCTTTTGGGCTGTCAATCACAATGTGGAGAGTGATGATTTAGTCGAAGAAAGGTTTACTAAATGACATGCTTGATGTGAATCTCCCTGAGCTCGTCTCTTCTACCCTTTGCATGTCCTTGTCAAGCCGACTCTCCCAAAATGTGCAAGATGAGCTGCCTAAGAGATATTATAATCGCATTTCTGTTGTGGAGACTGTAGCGACTGAATAGGCGTCTGCGAGTGAAGGTTAAAGTGGATGGCAGCGTGTCATCACTATTTTCATGATCTGTAGGAGGATAATCATGGTGGCGCATACATTTTGCGGTTCCCACATCTAGACCTACACGAGAAAAAGCATGAACAGTCACCGCCCGTCCACTTGCCAAGTATTAACTCTGCTATCCGCTCAAAATAATACTCAACTTCAATCGCTTAATTAATGAACATGTGCTGTCAAGTTACAACAATACTATGCATCAACAACTTCTCGAGCCTACATCCTGTGATACATGTCTCAACCAAACAACCAAAAATTGATCTATTTCGGGCTACTAGCAAGTTCATACCTCCAACGAACTGTTGTGGGTACTGATGTTTCTTAACTTTGATGCTTGAAAAGAACCTAGTGTAGTCCAATACAAGACAATATTGAACGAAGCGGAAAATTTTGCGACAGGACATTGACTCATTTTGAGACAGTAAAAATTCTCATATTTGGAACAATAGCTTTCCATAGACAGAACGATAGAAGTGAGTTTGGCTGGCTCTCGTGTTTGGATTTTTAACCACTATTTCGGCAGCGGGCTCCGAGTTCCAATTCTTAAGCAGGTAAAGATAATGGTCTATAGATATTGTTCGTATAAAAAAATGTCCAGGCATATGTATACTGAGAACAACTGGCAATGAGATTGATATTTTGTAACCAAGAAGCTGTCTGGTTAAGGGGCAGGTTCTGGCAATGAAGGCTATAGCTGAGAACTTTCTGTCAATGAGCCTTCGTCCCAGAATCCACCCACCCTCTCCTCGAAAAGAGGAAAGAGAAGCTGACAAGCATCTAGTGAAGCTTTCACTATGAGAGAATCTGTAATCTATCTGTCAGTTCAGAAACTCAAAGGTCAACGTGATAGAATTGATGCAATGGAATATCTGATCATGGCTTGCTCATTTGACCACTTTCCTTGTAGGGCTTAAATGGTATAATGTAGTACAACAGTTGGTCTTGGTCAGAGTCCTATAGGCTAATACATGATACTATGTATGTCACCGTCCAGTGCGATCGGAAAGGACATGATGTCTGGGCTCTGTTGCTGGACATCATACCACAGGAAAAGGCACCTAGATCCCATGTGATATCATAGACAAGGCTGATGAAGCCCCATGAAATTTGGTCCGAGCTTTGTCAGCCTTGAATCGCATTTTATCTCACCGATTGCTCCAATACTACTTCAATTATCAGTTTGAAGTCGAATTCATTAATCATAGACCAAAGAAGACATCAAAGAAAGACAATCATGGATTCAATGGATATTGATTCTCGTATCGAGACGCCTCAGGTTGTTGTTGAAGTCGAGGTAAGCCATTCTTTTCTTTGAACTCAAGCTCTCTTGGTAGAGCCTTGCGCGGTGTTGACCTTCAGATTTGCGCCAAATGTTCCTGCTTGAATTGACATATTTTATAGTTAATGGATACCGAAACTTCAAACAAGGTTCCAGTTGAGGAACTAGTCGAAGCCTCAAATGAAGCTTCAGTTGTTGAAGATTTGCTTGAAGAACAAACAGAGGAGCAAACAGAAGCCCAGACGGCTGCTCCAGACCCCCCCAAACCTAAACCTTCTGCTACCAAATCCAAAATATCAAACAACGCTCCTGGTTACAGATATAAATATCCTGAGGCGAAGCCGACACCTCCCGGTGTAGATGATGATAGATGGAATAAGATCTACGTTGCCGCAGATTCTCGATTTTACAACAGAGCCAAAAAGAATGCGTCTGAATCCAGAAAGATCAGACTGACCGGTGAAACTTATCAATTGGCACTCAGAATCTTAAAGGAAAGGGACGAGAAGGAAGCGGAGGCCGCGGCAGATTTGGCTGCTGGCATAGCACCTGCTCCTAAAAGAATGCCAAAGCCCAAGCCACCGCCCCGAATGCCAAAAGCTCCATCTACAAGCTCAAGAGATGGTACGCCAAGCTTCAATGATAGAATACCATTAAGTATCTCCGAACAGATCAAGAGTGAAGGCCGTGCTCGAAAGGCACTGCCATCCTCTAGTCAAGGATCTCCTGGGCCATCCGCTCCTAAGCATAGCAGTCCTGTACCATCACAGATAAAGTCGGAGAAGGGACCGATGCTAAAGAAGAAGAGCGCCGTCGCTCCTTTTAAGAAATTTCAACCCAAAGCAGCCAAGCCCGAAGGTACAGTTCCCACCAGCGCAAGTACAAACATGACACTTGAACATACTAATTAATACATTTGCACAGGCCCTACAGATGCTAGATCGCAACGTAATAGCGCCACTCCTGGGGGAAGAAGTGGCCCGTCCGATGATGATGGCAGCAACGATGGTGGTGAATACTGTATATGTCGCGGTCCTGATGATCACCGTATGATGATATTTTGTGATGGAGGTTGCCAGGACTGGTACCATTGCTCATGTATCGACGTTGATGTCGAGGACGCGAAAAATTTGCTCGATCGGTTCATTTGTCCAAACTGCAGCTCCGAAACCGAATTCACTACATGGAAGCGAATTTGCAGGTACCATAACGTTGATGGATGTCGGAAGGCTGCTCGTGTTATGGACGAGCCGCCTAGTAAGTATTGCAGCGACGAGCACGCAACTGCTTTTTGGGAATTTGTTGCCGCAAAGTTGCGCTCTAATAAAAAACGTACTATAGGTGGTGCATTGAATGAGGAAGAATTTGGAGCGTTGTTGACTTCATGTAAGACAGCAGCTGATTTCCATGCGCTTGGCTCAAGGCCTAAGTTGCCAATACCTGAAGGACACGACCCAAGTCAACCACTAGGTCTCAACTATCTGCTTCCCGAAGAAGAATCTACTATAAAAAAGATTAAGGCTGGACGTACAGTCATTGAAAAACGCATTGAAGGTTTCAAAATGGCCCAAAAACTTTTGATTATGATGAACCGACGTGCTAAGATCGCACAAGAACATCCAGATGTCGAGGTCAAGGAGATTTGTGGGTACGATAATCGACTCGCGCTCAATGAGTATGAGTTTGGTGCTTGGTGTGCAAGCGAAGAGGGCAAAGGTTATCTCGCTACTGGTATTCTTGGTCCTCGTACCGAGGAAACAAAGCATCTTGGTGAAACTACTCCATATCCTGGTCAGGTCATCCCGGATACGGGAGATATACCTGACGAACTAAAGAATCTGTGTATCAAGCCTCTCAAGAAATGCAAACACTATGGCTGGCGTGGTAACCATGCAGAGCAATACGCCTATTCAACAAAGACTTTGACGGAGGAACTTGCCAGGTTGAGTAAACAAGAGGCATCTATTATTGAGGACGCAGAAACAAGAGAAGCTACTAAGGATTACAATGCTGAGAATACGGTGGAGCAGCTTTTCTGAAACTTGAATTGCAATTGTTCCATTACTCTACTATGCTTCGGCTCGTGGCTTCTCTCCAGGCGCATGGGATGGATATCGTTATCAAGGAGTTTTAGCATATTTGCATTGAAGGGAGAAATAGGAGATATTAAAACACGTACTGGCTGGGCGTTCGAAGGCTTTGGACTTCAGGACATGATGGTATATATACCCAGGCGGAGTTCACGTACTACTTTGAATTAATTCAATACACTCAACATCAAGATGGTAAATATACATATCATGATGATAGTCATGTTGGTGATTTGATAGATTCAGTTGCAATATGTTCATAGTCTTTACTGTTTTGATATCCCAGCTCCAAACCCATCATCCCCCTCATTCCTCACCCATCCACCCAAACACTCCCTTACTTCTTCCTTCGCCCTCCTCCTCTCTCTCAATATATCACTCTCCTTCAAATTCTTATATTCATCCACCTCCAAGCCCCTGCTAATCCCCTCCACAATCTCCTTCCCGCCAATCTGCATTGCCGTAATTGCGCCCAAAACTTCAAGTCCCAATTTCCAACCTCTTCTTCTACAAACCCTACTAGCACCTTTCACATCAAACTGTTTTCTTCCCTGCAAGGCCCCATTTACAAGCGTTTCCCCGCCTGTTTTCCCATCGCCACGCACCCAAGAGGTGGATATATTGCTACTTACATATTCTGTTTTCGCATTGTGAGTTTCTGATCGTCGAGAATATATGAATTCTTTCCCTGTGGTTTTGACGCCTAGTTCGTGAAACCCATATCCACTCTCTCTTATTCCTTGTTCTTTGTTTCGTAAAGTGGATAAACGAGTCTGGAAACAGCGCACGAAGCCTGTTTCGTTATATTGCGTTTCTGGGAGGATGAGAGAATGTAGATACATGTTTTGAGGAGAAATAAAGAGGGAGGTGAGAGAGGAGAGAATAGATGTGTATTGAGATGTAGCTAGTTTATCGGAACAAGATTTCGAGAGGGTGGGAGGTGCGTCTGGACGCGATGGTTTGCGTCGTACGCGTCCGAGAAGCTGGAAGTTGGCTCGGCCTGGAAGTTCGGGTTTGTTGTCTGAGGATGAAGTACTGGTAGGTGGTAAATCCCACGGCGTTGGATCGTCTTGAGATGCCATTGTGAGTTCCATGCTTGCATCGCCGCAGGGCGCTTCGGAACAATACATGTAGAGTTTGATGTGGGATTTTAGTTCGAAGGGTTGGAATGAATCATGGGTGATAGTTTCGGGAGAGCGTTGTTGAAGGTATTGGGAGGGGATGGAGGGGGTAGAAAGGATAGCGAGAATTTCTTGCAGTAAGAAGTGATTGAGGGTGCGGAGACAGAGAATTTCGGCGTGCCAATCGTGGAGCACATTACCCTGTGCTTGGGAAAGTTTGGATTGCGGAAGACATTTCATGCCGGTTCTGAAATGGGGTGGTGTTAGGAATGAAAGTAATGGAAAAAAGTGATGTGATGATACTCTATACAGTGGAAGATGAAGCTGTTGGTTGAATCAAAACGTGACTTCACGTCTCGTAAGCCTCTCATTGCCCTCATCTTTATGCATAAATGATTGAGGAAAATGTTCCATGACATGTTTCATTGAAAACTCACGCAAGAGCCAGACAAGTCAATCCATCCTCACCTACCTCGAATCAGCCTTACCGTACCAATATAACATCATATTGATCAGAAATCTCTAATCAACAGATTTCGAAACAACATAAGAACCTTCCTCAAAAGTTCACCTACCAGAAGCGACAATCCCACTCAAAGGTACCCATTCCCTAACCCCTTCTCCCCTGTTCAAAGGTTTTCTCTTCGTGGGCAATCCATCAAATTGATTTAATACCACGTTTGCAATTTCGTCGCCTGATGGTTCGTTTCTCTCAATCATATCTGTTTTCGACATTTGATATCATCTATCATCCTCTATATCATGCAGATCAATATAATTATCGTCGGGAAAAGATACGACAGTAAGGGTTCAGATTACTTGCAGTAATTTTCGCGTGGGGTAGAAGTCATGAAAAAGAAGAGTTTTGGTTGGTTGAAATCGAATTTCTATGTAGCTCCCCGCAACACTAGGGATCTGAGCACGGTATGTGGTGGGGATCCGAAAGATCTAAGGAAGGGAGGGGATGTGTCCGATTATGATTGCCGCGTTTGAGGGGTGCGTGTGACGGAAAGGGACGCGAGTGCTAGCTAGTGTTTGTTTGTAATTACTTATCAAGGATTTGTTAACCTTTATTTTGAGCTTATGATTGCTTTTGTTGAGAGATGTTGTGTATATAAAAAGGAGATAGAATTTCTACAATATTCGAGTAGTTTCAATATCATTACTTCATTTTATATAGGAAACACGATTTACAACTTGAAGCTCATCAACCCCACACCCAAAGCTTCAGTCCCTCTCTGTTCGAGATACTTCATTCCACTCCCATACAAGTATCATCACGGCATCATTACACCACATAAACATCTAATATCTCTCTCATCATGGATCCTTCACAAATAAACATTCCCCCTATGAAAGATCTTACCATCGACAACATCACCGAAAACACCGTCCGGATAAATTCTCAAGGAAGCGATGAACGTCTCACATATGTTATGGAAAGACTTGTTACGCATCTCCATGATTTTGCCCGTGAAACACGTTTGAGTACTAAAGAATGGATGGCTGCGTTGAATTTCTTGGTGAGGGTTGGTCAAATATCTAGTGATGTTAGACATGTATGTATATCATTCTCATCCCACAATTCAGTTGGGAGGATACAATTAATGAAGCAAGTAGGAATTTATCCTTCTATCAGATATCCTCGGACTATCTCTCCTAGTCGACGCAATCGACCATCCCAAACCCGCCTCTTCAACCGAAGGAAGCGTCCTCGGTCCCTTCCACACCCACGATGCCGAAGTAATGGCATCGGGCGACAAAATTTGTTCCGATCCCCAAGGCGACCCCTGCATCGTTCTCTGCACTATCAAAGACGTATCCGGGACACCTATCTCAGATGTCAAAATCGACATCTGGGAGACAGATTCCACAGGTCACTATGATGTCCAGCACGACATCCGAGACGGACCCGATGGAAGATGCGTGATGAAAAGTGATTCCAATGGAGAATTCTGGTTCAAGGCCATCGTGCCTGTTCCCTATGCCATTCCGCATGATGGACCCGTAGGCCAACTTTTGAAATTGTTGAAGAGACATCCGTGGAGACCGGCCCATATGCATTTTATGTTTGAGAAGCCAGGTTGGGATCATCTTATTACGTTCGTTTTCCCACACTAAGGACTTACCTCCCTACTAACAAGAAGAAAATAGCGCACTATATCTCCGAGGCGATCCATACGAATCATCAGATGCAGTATTCGGAGTAAAACAATCACTGATCGTAGATTTCGAACCCGCAACCGCTGAGATCGCGAAGAAGTATTCAGTTCCCGAAGGATCAAAAGTCTTGAAACATGATTTTGTTTTAGTGAGCGAAAAAGAGACGGAAGAGTTGAGAGATAGGAATGCCTTGAAGGCTTTGAAGGACTTGGGCATGAAAGTAAAGTTGTTGGATCATTTACCCGTGCCGGATCTGGATTGATTTATTTTTAAGGGGGGTTACGGCTAAGATTTGCGATGAGAATCATGAGGGAACGAAATGAATACCACTTTTTTTTCAAGGAGCTCCAGATCGTTCTTGTTGAAGCAAGATATGAACTTGCCATTCTGATATGTCTGAACCTGGCCGCGATCGCTTTCTGCTTGCTTACTGACATGATTGCCATGGACTGGCACATCAACTCGAAGAGACGCGAAAGGCTACATGAAGTTTACATCGCCGTCAAAATGATAATAGCCACAAAGCTTTATTTGACATCACCAAGCAGACAATAATATAAGAAACGAGAATTTCCTACAGTACTTGAGATATTTTGATATGAGATATTCTCAACATGCATGATGATACAACCACATTATACGTTAATCATACTGGACTGAATTGTTATGTACGTGTGCATATAGCCAAGATTTTACTAGCTTTTATAGGGCATAATACCCAAAACGAGTCTTAAGAGATACATGCTAAAATTACAGATACCAATAAATGTCCCTCCCTACCGTTACCCATATAAATATATGTACTGTGTGCGCTCCACACTTTTACGCCAAAAACACTGACCCCTCCCTAATATACTATAAACATCCGAACACCGCACGCTTCTCAGAGCTCCTCTTCAATACAATTCAATCATTTTCAGCCCACTACTCTAAACCCGCAACTCTCCTCGGCCAACTCATCAACCCCTCCCAGCCGCCCGGTAAAATTCCACTAATCCCACCAATCTCCCTCCTTACCATCGCTCCCATCCACCAAAAAGTTTTTCCCAAGTTCAAATCCTCCCCATTCTTCATCTGCAATGTGATACTATCACTCGGGCCCCCACCCTCTACCAAACATGTTGCCATCGCAAAGTAGTATGCGAAAATTACCAGTGCACGCGGTTGTCTCTCCTCTACCAAATCTATAAAAAGTTTCGGGACTTGCAGCCCGAAGGCTGTGAAGCGGCGAGCGGTCGCCATGGGATGTTCGTGCTGCATGATGTTGAGGTGGATGGAGGAGAGGTAGGAGAGGGTTTGCAAGTAGGCTGTTAGATGCGTAGGAGGAATTGAGGGATCATATCCCCCGTTTTCAGAGTAATTTTGAGGAGAGATAGAGATATGAGGGGAGGGATAGGTGAGGATTGCGTTGAAGAGAGGGTGGATTTCGGGGCGGTTGAGTCGTTCTTCTGGTTTGGTGAGCGCGGGCTTGGTGCGAAGGAGTGCCATTGCTTTGGCGTTTGGGTCATGTCTTATTAGACCTAGTGCAACGGCAAATACAGAGGCGGTCCCTCGAGCCATCTGTAACCAATGCGTAGGTAGTGTGTATGGTTTCATGCAACGAACTTGTAAACTGGAAAATGCGTCGTTAAGAATTAAAATCGAGGCAAACATTACTGCATCGGCAGTGCTGGGATTCAAGCTCGCGACTCCTTTTTGATGATGTCGTAGTGCTAAGGAAAGGTAGTGTTGGCGTGCTCGTTGTATCTCCATATCGCTTGGTGAGAGCACGTGAAGATGTAGAGAGGCGATGGCAAACATGGCGTAGAGAAGGTTGGGAGATGCGAAAGCGAGTTTTGGGACCACCACAGACCATAGATTCAATGTTTCAGGGTTATGACAACTGGGGAATGTGGGCGACGTGTGAATTATGTAAGTTTGAAGTAATCGTAACTCAAGCATTCGACGAGCACTAGACTCAGGAAGGTCATCGCTGAAAGCTTGGCTTGGGGCTGGTGGTATTGAAAGGTCTACTTGAGGTGAAACTGATGCGCTACTGAGGTCTTCAGCTAGAGCATGTATGCTGATGTGTTCCGGTGTAGAAGGATTACTGGAGTTAGATTTGATGGTCTGGGGTGATGATGCCGCTGGGGGTAGTGGCGGTGGTGGTTTTGTGTAGACGCATCCTAACCTATGCCTTATACAATTATTACAGATAGGCCTGGTTTCATCGCACTGCATTCTGATTAGCGAGGACTCGCAATGGCAAAGCATTTGCAATGAATGACTCGGATGCGGAGATCTAGTGAACACGCTTGTGTACCGAGATCGCCATGAACAAAAGTAGACTTCCAGTTACGTACATGCAAAGGTAACCCCATGATGGAAGAAAGATCAAAGGAAAGTTTCTGAGCAGAGAACTATCTCTGTATCTTATTGTATAACGAAACATTAAATTGCAATATGACAATTAATATCAAAACGTTAAAAACATTGAATCGTCCGTCGTACATATGTCGAGTCAAGTAGTACTCAGGTACAAGCGAACATCAGATTACAATATCTTGGCACAGGGACCAACATCAATATTCAATCGCATGAAAAGTTAATCGACAAAAAAGATAAACATACTTTGACACGTCTTGCCTTACATCTTTGACACCCGTTCCTCGATTTCTTATGATACAATCTTGGAGCTTTAACTTTCTTCTGTCCCTGCTTCTGATCATCATCCCCCCCTCCACATCTGGATGATTCGCATCAGGACTCAAACTATCCTGGGAATTCCGGAACGATTGCGAGGAAGACAGTTCCTGATTCGAAATTCGTACATCCGGCCCTGATGCTCTAAAACCGGCATTATCATTGCCATTCACGAAATGCGAATCCGACGCAAAAGAAATTGATCTCGAGTCGATTCTAGACCTCGCGGTATGAGAGATCGATGCATCAAAATTTCCACTTCGACTATGTCCAGAACGTCGATCTAAACGAACATGCAGATCCGTGTCCATGCTTCCCAGACCAGGCCGTGCCGCGTCTGTTCTGACTGTAAGATAACAGCCCTAAAGCGAACCGTGGCCCACAGTCCACGTGTCGAATCTGACGTCTGTTTCCAGGTGCGTCAAAGACCCGTTAGATCTACACCTTATTTTCCGACTGACAGGTCACGCTATGTTCTCTTATGAAGTATGGCTGCGGAAGGCGCTGTGCAGACGAGCGGAAATCAGCGGGAAAGAGGGTCCGGGAATTGCGGAAATTCGAATTGGCTGGTAAGTGCATGTAATCTCCTCTTGTGAATGAGAAATTGGGTTCATTTGATGGGGTAAAGAGGAGATGTCGTCGGGTTCGGTATCGTATGTTCAAGGGTGGGTAGGAGGATTTTTGGGTGATCTAATGCTGCTTTTGAGAATTATGGTTGTTTCGGGTAGCTTACTTAATGTTGCGGGCTGAAAATGATAGTTAAAGTTTAAGGCGGCGAAAGTGGGATGCGTTTATCCGGGAGCGAAAAATAACCCTATTGGTATTTGTAGAGCGACATCATTTGCAAGATGAAAATATATGTTTGCTGCTGCAAAATCCCGAAAAACTACTTGATCTCCCAATCATCTTTGCAAAAATTCGATTGATTTTCAAGGGCTGGAAGGCCATAAGCAAGCGGATTTTGAATGCTATAGTCGAAATTGAACACTGGATGATATTCATCTGAAGTCTTAGGATCACCACATACATCTCAGTCCACTTTCAGTGATGAAGAATGGATATTCGCAGTAGATATTAGGATAATGTGCAGAAACACTCGCATGAAAAGTAAAGTTCCTATTCTACCTTGTCCCGTAAATATTTATTAAAGTGCAGTTATCAAATAGCTCTGATCCTTATCTCACCCAAATACAAATTAACAAAACCGGTAGCTCCAGCAAATTTCAAACAACGCCAAGGTCACCATCTTATCATCCCAGTTTCATAGATTCATCTCAGTGTACTGCTATTCTTTATTGTACATCATTCCTCTGCTCTCTATCCCGCTCAGAAAAGGCCACCTTCTGGAACAGCCAAGAAGATGACCGTCAAAACGACAGCCACACCGGCACCGATAAGCAAAGATTGCAGGAAAATTATATCTTGTATCTGTCTCAATGCCGGCTCCTGTACCCAAACCTCTCGATCAAAGATTTTTCTAATAACAAATCTCTTCTCGTATTTCTTGACCCATGGATACTCTTCGCCCTTGCCGCTACACGATGCATCGTCCAGATACATGGCAGAGTCCTCAGACTCCCATAACTCCCAAGGTCGAAGATGGCGATGATGAAGACCATGGAGTACAACACACATCCCTCTGAATGCTGCATACAGTGTAGAAATGCCCAGGACCCAGAATAATGCCGAAAATGCACGCCATCCTCGGGACATATTACTGAGGGTGGTAAGAGTTGCGTACAGGAAGCCTAAAATAATAAGAGCGGCACCGAGGCCCTTAGCAAACACTTGGCGTGGTTTGTTTCCATTGCAAATACTCCAACGGATAAAATTGGGGTGTGCCTGGTGTCTCAAGCTAGATTCAACGGTTTCGACAATGGGTTGGAAGGCAGACGGATGAGTTGTGGTTGAAAGACGCTCAAGAAGAGTAGTTCTTTGACGTGAGGATAGATTGAGTTGACGAGAGCCATCATCTGCGATATATATAGCGATTATTCGATCAATCTCATCACGATAGCGTAGATTGATATCTAATAATAGAGTAAGCTTCAATTTGCGGAAGAGATGATTTCATCAAATTACCTGGAATTTGAATACCAGCACGACTGAAAGTTTGCTGGGCAATCGAGCGGTATGAATCTTGTGCTGCTGGTCGAACTTCCATTAAGGATCCTCCTTCTTTGTCAAAACCTGTCTCCCAAGGAGCCATAACTTGTGGCGGAGAATTTATCGTGGTTTTGATTATACGAGTAGCCATTTGCCGCTTATCGTCCGCAACATCAAAGCCAACTGCTGAATCATTTTGATATTCAGATGAACCAGAAGCCTGACGTTCTGAAGAGGCTGTTGCAGGTGGAGTCGAGAAGGGATTGGATGGATTCGATTTCTCGAAACGAGATGTGTAATCTCGAAACCAGAGGAAGAATTGAAGATTCTCTGGAGCATGCTCAATGAACTCGAGATAGTTCATGAATTCTCTCACGGTCATGGGCTAAAGATGAGTGGTCAGCAGTGTGATGAGGCATGGAGTGTGAGTGATATAGGCACTGTAATCACTCATGACCGGAAGAAGTACAGTCGGTCCAGTAAATGGTCAAAACAGAATTGCCCATGGAAATATAACAGAGCTTGGTCTTACAGGGCATGTTCCACCATTGATAATTTTGTCAAATGTAAGAGCATCCGGAATGCCTTGAGAGAATTTGCTCGAACTTTTCGAGTGCGTCCGAGATAGATCCATACTGGAGTCTCTTGAAGATTTTTCTGAGCTTGAGTATGAGTTTTTGTATTCAGGACGATGATAGTTGACGTTTGAGAAAACCTCCCCTAGGTAAGGTATGAGGCCCGACATGATTGCAAGTTATGAGTACCAAGAAGTACCCAACTTATATGGTTGAAGAGGTGAAACAAGTAATTAATGATTCGTTAAAAGGATATAAAACGCTAATGATTAAGGGAAAGATCGTGAGAATCAAGGGTAAGAAAGATGTTGATATGAAGATAGAAGGTGTCCAAAGCTTAAAAGGAAGGTACAATGGTGACTGAACTCAATCTATGTATCAGAATGACTGAGCAACTACACATCAATGTGGGTGAATTGAAGGGGGTTAAAATCAGTGGAAGAAAGAAAAAGAGAGACAGTCCGGTATCTTGATATGTATATCCTGCTTCTGGGATTTCCTTATATAGAGTACATGAGTAGCAGATGTCCACTTAGGCCATTACCCTTTCGCAAGTGTACACATGTGAAGGTCGGTTGTCGCTTCAGGCTCGAGTTCCAAACCGCAAGCATTATCCTTCTTACTCTGAGAACCGTTTGTAAGATTGAATACATGGAAGCTAACTTTCGAGTATATTGTTAGATTATTGACAGCCCGTGGTAAGGATAGATGTCAATGTAGGATGTGCGGAAAGCCTAGCTTCTCTTGCCTCGATTAGAGCTCCACAAATTGCCTGATTAGGCTTTACTTGCAAGTTTCAACAACAAATATGTGGGCGGGGCTCCCGTTATACGACTCTCTGCTCTAACGATTGGCCAATGACCAGTAGGAATCGCTCCTCGTCTATAATACGACCTTGACTAGATGTACGATCGAGGCTCACCTTGGTACTCCACCCCCGACGCGATCATCTACAAGGCACGTGGCACTAGGGCGTAGATCCGAATTTGACGGGTTTTTCCTTCCAATGAATTTTGTATCCCTGTTAAAGGATAGAAACTTGCAATCTTCGCGAAAAACCTCTAACTTTCTTGAGAGGTTCGGTGCGAAGCCGAGCGATCAATAAGGTACAAGCGAAAACGGGAGCGAGGTCACCACAAAAGGTTTTAATAGGCGAGAATGCTCCCGGCGCGAAATACCCAAAATTTGATATTCTACTTAGAACAAACAGACCAATCAATGCGTTTCAACTTGTTTATTAAAATTTCACGATGGGTCTTTAATCTCTCCTTGTGGAACTTTACAAGTTTGACGGAGAACCAGATCAGATTGACAAAGCTTGACTGACGGGATGGATGTATGTATGTGCGTACTATATACGTTGAGGAGTTGAGCTAGAATTAAGAAACTTGCAGTTAAATTTGAAGGGAGCCCACTTTGAGGACAAGTGGACCGACCACTCTATGATGTAGGTATCTAACAGTACCGTTGATAGGTTGCAGATACAAGCTGCCTAGACAAAAATTGAACAGCTGAAAGATCTGGGAAAGTCAAATTGATGAAATTGACAAGATGAGAGGCATGGGGTAAAAGTAAATTGGATGCTGGCATTGAACCTTAGGCACTCGGAACTATGTCTGGAGTATATTATTGATATTCATTCACCAATATACTACATCTTAAAGAGGAGCAGTAATAAAAACTGTGAGGGGAATAAACGATTATGCATTGAGTGTAAATTGTGATCACACTCTTTTTCTCGGCACACCATACAAACAGTGTAACCACAAACCACACACCACACTTTACCAATGTTTTTCCGAAATCTCAACCTCATTAACATCCACCCCCTCTTTGAACCACCTCTCCTCATGTCCAATCTTAACATCATTCCCACTCATCTGTCTCTTCCTCATTCTCCCATCTTCCGCAAACGTCCAATCCTCAAGTCCATAGCATCTCCACCACTGACCATCCTCATCATGAAACTCATACCAGAATTGTACTGCTATCTATACACATCTCATTAGCACTCCCTTCATACGATACCAGAAAACAAACCTTATTTTCCGTAAATGCAAATAGTTCTTTCCTCAATCTATATCCATTCTCCTTTGCCCACTTCTTGCTCAGAAATTCGACGATTTCATCTTGACCGCGGATGAATGTATCGCGGTTTCTCCAGATGGAATCTTCGGTATAGGCATTTTTTACTACCTGGGGATTTCTATGTTTTATTGTTGGTATGATGGCGGCTATGGCAGAGGGACAGTGAGTGTATACTTTGTATTCCATACATCCTGTGCAGCTTTAACCTTGATACGAGCGGTTTCCTCGGTGAAAGGTGGAACGGGTGGTTTGGTTGTTGCCATTGTTTGATGTAAAGGGAGAATGGATCTCTTTGGTTGTTGGAGATGGATAAAATATATAAATATCAGATGAGATGAGATGAGGGGAAAGTTGAAGTTCTTTGTACGAGTATATGTACAATTGATTACTGTTGAATGCCAACCATGAATCATATCTATTTCTTTTACCGCCATCTCTACTCACTCATTTCAACAGTCATTGCGGGAGATCATATCCGCAAATGATTGTCATCGATACTTCTCCAAGCTACATGAATCCTTCAGCATTCTTATCCGCGAATAACTTCACATAAACCAATTAAGACATGTAATTAATACTTCCGTTTCAATCACCGAGATCCCGGCTTCATTCTCATCAGACTCAAAAATCTTCCGAATCCCGCAAGAACCGCCCCCAATTGCGAATTCCGGGAAATATCCAAATACCTTTTCGACGTGAGATTTCCCGCATGTACTTCGTATACTATGTATAAATGATACATCCAAAATCCGACAACTATTTATCTACATCCTGAAATCTCAGGTCTTACTCGAAATGACAATCAATTTGAGAAGGTGACAAACATGTGATGGCGTAAATTCCGCGGTTTAGCCATCTAGAACCGCCGCTCACAATAAGTTAATAAACATATCCCATCAATTATCACTTCTATCACCATACAATTCAAACATAAAAGACACATCAACAATAATAATTCGATGTTTGTAACTCTCAATAATCGATCTAATTAGTTTACTTAATAATAACATAACGTATGGGGAACTCGGACAGGTACCTTTACACCAAATTTTGTATGTAAAGGTACTTAGAGCGACTTTTTATATCTCTAGAAATACTAGAGATATAGTTTTGATATTTTGAAGTATGATATATTCAATATAAATACTTGATATGACAAAATTTTATAGAGATATAATTTTTTTAATAAAAATATTAAAGTTTCTTTCAAATTTTCGTTTTTGCCTAACAAAAATTACTATGGGGATTTTTAAAATAGGGCTTACCCTAAAAGTAATTATAGATTCTGATAGCCCTCAATTGCTTCACTCTATTTATCACTTTTCCGATTGTTTTATCTACTTATTCAAGGTTGTGTAATGGATTGAAGTGATTTAGGGTCATCGGCCGGAACAACTAAGCTCCAACCAATAAAAAGTTTTGTACATTATTAATGGATTATCAGAATAGGTTTTATGAATCTGCAAATATGAAGATGACGCACTTATACAGATGTATGATTACATAATGGAGTACGGATCTACTACGTTTGCTTCTACGAATCCATTACCATTTTGTTTAATCACTATTCTCTCTCGTGATATGCTATCATTGTGTGTGATATACATTACTAAATATCAGATATGCTTTTAACTTCGATAGAAATCTATTTTGGGGGTTTTATTCAAATGCATCAGATAGGCCTCGGTAGATCATGCAAACAGTCTGGACTCTGATGTAATTTGTAAACACACCATATCTTTGAAATCAACCACGTTCTAGCTCAGGGTCACTACCGGACAACCCAGCGAGCCCAGCAATGAGGTCGACAAGGGACGATATCGAGGTCCCAGTAAATATGAGAAATCGAAAGTATGGATGGATACCTTTTCTGCATCAACCAGCCAATCACAAAGAGGAATCAAGCTTGTAGTGGGGTGAAATGGGATATTCTAGAAGGAAGCTAGTGGTGGGGTGGAGCGATGAATCAATTGATGTGTCTCCGACTACGGGTGCGATATCAGGTTACAGGTACCTACCTGGATAGGTAGGGGGTTGCGGGAGAAGTATTTATATATTGAAGAGAGACGGTCTTGTTGCTACCTTCCTCTTTCTATTCTCATCTTCTACAATACCATCTTACCTTTGCATTCAAGCAATCACATCTCCAAACAAACAAACAACCCCTCAATATATCCATATCTCAAAATGTCTGAAGCAACCTTGAAGCTCGGTGACTCCCTCCCAGAGGGCGTCAAGTTCGGCTGGATCCCACCGACCCCCGAGAACGCAGATATCAAAGCATGCGGAATGCCAATTATCTACAACGCATCCAAGGGTATGCAGATCCATGAAATTTCCACCCGCAACTCTCCTTTCACTCACTAACCATGCACAGAATGGGCCAACAAGAAAGTCGTCATCTTCTCTCTCCCCGGTGCATTCACCCCTACCTGCAGCGCATCGCATTTACCAGGCTACATTGCCAATCTCCCTGCTCTCCGCGAGAAGGGCGTCGATGTCGTCGCTACCATTGCTTACAATGATCCTTTCGTTATGAGCGCATGGGGCAAGGCAAATGGAATTCACAACGAGGATATTGTATGTTAACTCCTACGTCTCTTCTCATAACCCCCTCTTTCCTTTCTTGATCCCTCGAGAACTTTGCTAATCTTTCTCCATCCAGCTCTTCCTCTCCGACAACCAATGTGCTTTCTCCAAACTCCTCGGCTGGACCGATGGCGAACGTACCGGTCGCTACGCTCTCATCATCGACAATGGAAAGATTGTATATGCAGAGAAGGAGCCTGGAAAGGGAGAAGTTACTGTTTCCGGAGCTGAGGCTGTTTTGAGCAAGTTGTAAACGTTTGATGGAATGGAGGAATTAATAAACACTAATGCACATACACATATATGATTGGGAGCGAGATTTGAGCATGATTTATAGATTAGATGATTAGATGGTCAGAATGGCTGCATAGAAATGGATAGAGGAGAATACCATATAGATCTCTACTCTGAAGTATATGAGTGTTGTTTAGTGATTCTTCTCATGATGCTTTTCTTTCTCTCAATCCAATCACATGCATTCGTAAGATGGAATGATACAGATACTTCAAAGTTACTGAATGGTTAAGCTCAACAATTTTTAGCCTCCGAATATAGAGCACAAGCCATCGCTGACTGCCCTTTCGAGCAGTCTCCGATACTGAGCCCCCAGCTGCGATATCGGTATGTACATGCATGCATACTGTATCGAGCCAAAACCATGAATATCAGATTGAAAGTTCACTATGTATGTGTCATATGAGTGGATTTTCGGAACGGAGAGGGGAATTAAGAATGACGCGTCGGCCTAGAGTCTTATGTGAATACCTACCTATACGTGTGATCTCTTGGTATGTGATGTGAGATGTGAAATGCTGCGAAAGGCCAGTGGAGATGCACAATGGTTTGGTATTCCGAGAGGTAGAAAATACATGGGGGAAGTGTAGCAAAATATGAGAATAAGTCGCTTTCTGAGACTCATTCTGGAGGGGTTGAATTTGGATAGAATAGAATAGGGATATACTTATATCTCATTCATCCGATTCCATTCCACGTACCACGAAGAGCAACTCCTCACACATCACAAATATTGTTTCCTTCTCAAGAAATCTCAAAATCATGAGTTCATAACATAATGCTTAATATCGCACCTCCTTTCGAAGCTTTATCTTCATCTTCTCTTCACGGGATATGTACAACGACCCCTTTTCACCTTCTATGTCGATTTGAAGACTTCCATTTTATGACTCCGATTTTGACAGATTTGTACCCGTAACTTCATTCGTAACCTCTTGTCTATTGCTGGACTAATCCTGTGACCTTGTCCTCGATTTCTTTATCCGATAGTCCTGTATGGGGTTGTGTTAGCATTTGTCTTATGTTTAAGCATTGTAGTCTCTGTATTCCATGTTCTCCCTCATTTCTTCCGATTCTCCAGTCCTGGGCTCCCATCTGCATCCCAAACTCGTAGTCACCCCCTCTTCATTTCGCTCCGCCCGCTGCAATTCCCCTCATACCCATCTGCGAATCTTTCCCCTCCTTCTCTCATCCTCACTCCAGTCAAATCACCCTATCGTCCCACATCCTATCTAGCCCTTTCCAATGTTTCCTCCAAACCGAAAATTCCTCCAAAGCTTATACCCATAAACGATAAACCACACACTGTAAACCACACAACACAAAAACCGAAAACAACCTACCAGCCAAATCCTCACTGACCTCCCTTCCAAACTCATATCTTGCGTAAACCTTTGGTTGTGTACCCGCCGCCTCTCTCAACATTATTGGTGTATTTGGGTTGTGCTTTTTCATCGTTGGGTATGTTCTTGCGAGGAATGATCTAGAGCGGGGTTTATCAGATCTAGCTTTACTGCAAGAAATCTAGCAGATAGTCTGGGAAGACTGGCGAGGAAAGAAAATCTGCGCGGTGAAAATATGGGCAGCGCATGAGAATGTGAGAGAAAATCATACCTAGTAGCATTACTTTGAGCGCCGGTCTGACAAAATAAAAACCTGACTTCCTTCAAGGTCTGCGAGAATGCGTATTTGGCCGACATGTTGGTAGATATCCTTTCTTTCCTTTCTGAACAATTTTTTGTCTATAATATTGTTCTTTTGTCGTTGCAACACAATATCGGGTTGTGGAAAGTCAATGGTTCGTCGCAATTACAAGCTCAACGTGAAGCTATCCGGATATTGATATTGCGTTTGAAGTTCAAAATGGTTACCGTAAATATGTCCTTCGTACAATGTTTTTTCATTGGATCCAGCCACAACTGCTCTCGAGCAGGCATAATTTCACCAGCCACCCGTGCCACCCTCCGGACGGACTCCGACACCAAGGCACAACAGAAAGTGTTCAACAAAGTTTGACGAGCCAGAGAGCTGGATATTTGGATTTGTTTGATTTAATAAGTGAAGATTGGTTTTAAATCAGAATTAAAAGATTTACTTGTAAGTAGTTGCCTTTTGGCATTAATTTTATTTTTCATCTAAGCTTTAGTATAAGCAAACAAGAAAGAGGAGAAATGAAGCTTGCTTTGGGAATATATTGAACGGATAAATGATACATAACGAATACTAAACTCCGGCATAGCAACAGTTATTTCCATCCGTCTACTTCAAAAACATAATACCCCAATCCAATCCATCAACAACCTCACACCTTACCACCTCACCACCTCACACATAACCATCATGTCCCCTCAACCCTCACCCGCGCTCTGCGCTTCAACCCAACCTCTATCAACAAATTCGTTTCCTCGACTTCTTCTTCCAGCAGCGCCGCATCTCGTTTCTTCACCTCCAACTCCTCGTCTGCGCGCCAATACTCCACATTCAGAAATGCATTTGCACGAACTCGTTTTGCGGGAAAGCAAACAAAGAGATTTCAGAGTACAGAGGCTGCTGCTGCCACTGCCACTGCGCAAGTTAGTTGGTTCAAGAGAATGTGGGATAGTCCGATTGGATTGAAGACTGTGCATTTCTGGTAGGTTTTGGCTATTTTTCTTCGGGCTATGATTTGGAATGTATTTGAGATGGTCGGTGAGAAACGATATATGGAGAATGGTATATCAGAAGCAGGGGGAGGGCATATGTTTAATGGGGGGGATTTGACGTAGAGGGGAGACTATAGGATTTGGAAATACTGGGTGTTGCACATTGCAAAGCACATTGCCAAAGAAACGAACAAAAGCTAACAATGTTTGATATAGGGCTCCTGTCATGAAGGTATACAAATTCCCTATCACTCTCCTCAATTGTTCATCTATCAAATATGAACTACTTTCAAGCTCTCAAAAACTCTCCCCGCACATAACCCACTTCCTCGCCCCGAGCCCCCCTTTCAAAGCAGTTGATCAATAACTAACTTCTCAATCAGTGGGCACTTGTCTTAGCCGGTGTCTCTGATCTTGCTCGTCCCGCCGAAAAGCTCTCCCTCACCCAGAATGCTGCCCTCACTGCTACTGGTATCATCTGGACTCGATGGTGTTTAATCATCAAGCCAAGAAACGTTCTGTATGTTCACTTTTTCTCGTCGCCCTTCAAATTCAATATCATTCCATTATTGCACACAGAACTAACAAACTCAAAGCCTCGCAACCGTCAACTTCTTCCTCGGCATGGTTGGTGTCGTCCAAGTCACCCGTATCCTCCTCCATCAACGCAGCGAAAAGAACAAATCCCTCACCGATAAAGCAGCAGAAATCGGTCACGAAGTCAAGGGAAAGGTCGAGGATGTTGTTAAATCATAAATATATATCCCACACTAAAGGCACGATATGGGAGAATAGCTCTTTCCCCATTGATAGCCAAAGGTCCTTTTCATAGAGAACTGCAAACAAGGACATACTCAAGTTCCAAAAAGAGCACATTTGCGAACTTTCTTTCTTTTCTACTTTTCGTTCGTCCTGGCGAATGGATAGATAAAGAATTTGAATTGAACAAAACATAGTACAGAGAATTTCCTTGGTGCGAGGCTTGTTTTTTATTTGCCTTTTTTCCTTCTTGCGATGCGATACGATGCGAAATCTACTTTCTGAAGTATATGAAAGGGGCTAAAGTAAATTTCGATGAATTAATCAATAGTTCATTACAGATAGCTTTAGATGAGATGAGTATAAAGGCGGGAAGATGAGAGGTGGAATTGTACACTACTATACCTAAGTTTCACCAATTCAAGATTCTTTCTTTCTTTTCTTCTTACCTTGTGGTTGTGTTTTTGATGCTTTGTGCTATGTTGAACTGGGATAATAGGGAGGGGGTGTGATTTGGTGAGGAAAGTCGCTTGTCTATTCCACCTCATCTCAGCTCCATATCACCTGTCGTTTAGCGAAGGCTCTATGACAAGGCTTCTGCAATAGTTATATGATTATATGATTGTATAATTTTTATTCGATTTATTCGATTTCTTATCATGGTACTGTACGTTTGTACATTTGACCTCCACTCCAATCTTTCTTCCTCTCCTCCCTTCCCCACCACACCAAATACACTTCCCTCACCCGTCCTTTCACTACACATCCAAATCCCATGCAGAGCTAACAAAATACACATACACATCCATCCAGCTAGTACTCTAGTCAGATTCATGCATCATATTGCCCTAATCCATCCACCCATCCCATTCCAAATATATCCAACGCCCAAAATTTCCGTCTTTCTAAGCGTCTTGATATCCACCCAAATATGCTCCAAATGCCATGCCAAAATCCTGATATCAAAAGTCCACTCTTTCGTTTCCTTATCCATGTTATCATCTTCATCGATTCTCTCTTCGGAGAATTAGCCAGTCCTTTCATCCTCTCCATATTTACATTGCACGTCTCCATCCTCCAACCGAATAGAAAGAGAAAACATTTCCGTCTACATAACAGAACATTCCTCATTATTCTTCTGATTAGCCCCTTTAGATCTCGAGATCCTTTCTCTGCCCTTGTTACTCTGCTTTCCACCGTTTCGTTTGAGTTCCTCGAGCTTTTCACGAGCCTTGGGGAAATTTTGCGCTACATCATTTATCAGCTATCAACTCTCAAGAATTATCCCAGAGAAATGAAAAGAAGGACAAGGAGCTGCAATGAAACAGAAAATAAAAGAAAACCTACCAGCAGCTCTCCAATACCACCTCTTAGCATCTTCCAAACTCTTTGGCGTACCAATACCCTCCTCACAATAATAACCCATAGCATATTCAGCCTTAGCCAATTTTGCCATTGCCGCCTTTCTCGCCCACAGATAGGCCTCTGTATCACTTTGTTGCAAGATGTTTTCATGGCCCGTCAAATACCAACCACTAAGTGCCAATTCACTTTGATGCTCTTCCTGAACCGCTGCTTTAGAATACCACAAAATAGACTGTCTAGCATCAATTGGGCAATTGAATTGACCATACTCGAAAGCTTGACCCAGGCGGTATTGTGAGAATTTATAACCAAGATTAGCCGCTTCTTGGAAAAGCTGGAAGGCATATACTTCATCACGAACGAGAGATGTGTTTTGACCTTGTGGTGCTTCGTATAGGAGACCTAATTCGTGTAAAGCGTGGGGATTTTCAGGATCTGCGCGTTCAGCAGCTCGTTTAAGCCAAACAACAGCTTCGCCAGGGTTGATTGGTTGACCCAGAAGTCCTTTTAGTTGAATCATACCCATTTTATACATGGCAGGGGTGTCTCCAAGAGTGGCAGCGCGTCTGTACCATTGAATAGCTTTGAGAGGATCTTTACGAGTACCACCTCCCTCCTCGTTGCCGAGTTCACAACAAACTGCAGTTCTGTATGCAGCTTGTGGATGATTGAGCTTTGCGGCAGATTGATAGAGGGTAAATGCTTCTTTCTCGTTGACTTCAAGCCCCAACGCACCACGACCGTAACAGTCTGCAAAATAGAACATTGCATCTGGATGTTGAGCTTCTCTCAATTTCTTAAGGACTTTGGTAGCTTCAAATACATACTTTTCTCTTGCTTTGTTGCGTGCTCGCTGATCGGCAAGAGGTGCAACTAAAACATCCGAAGCCTCGACCAATTTCTTCACGAAAAGTAGAGGAGTCTCGTGATCGTTTGGATTACCATTTTTATACTTCAGTCTCAAACGATCTAGCTCGGCCTGAGTTACTGGTTGTGCGGGAGCTTTTGTTGGAGTAGGACCTGCAGGGGAGGAACCATTGGGTACCGGTATCGGAGTATTTGATTGAGGTGGAGGATTAAAGCCCCCATAATTGCGCATGGGTGGTGGTTTGATATTTTGTTGTTGTTGAGCGAAAGAGTTAGGTATTAGACCAGCTCGAACTGGAGGAGCATGAGGAGGTAAACCACCTTCTGGGGTGCCTTGCTTTTGTAGACTATTTTGACGACCGCCTTGAAAGCCTCCATTCTGTGGACCAGGGTAACCGCCATTCTGGGGCGAAGGGCCATTCGGATACCCTCCAAATTCAGATTGCGGCATTCCACGCCCAGCTCCGGGGGCTGCAGACATACTTCTTGGCGGTGGTTGAAACTTTGGTGCTTGAGGAGGATATGGGTCGTACACTTGATTTTGTGGCATACCTTGATATTGGTTATATTGAGCATCTTGCTGTCCCCAGCCATCTTGATAACCTTGCTGTGGCATGTTAGGAATTGGTGGCGCATCCCCTGCCATTTCAAAAATTGCCGTTTGAGCTTGAGCTTGAGCTCTGAAATCCGGTTGAGATTTTACAGGTTTGACTTGACGTAAGTTGCCATTCCTTTCCATAGGATCAAATTCAGGCCCAGGTCCGCCTGCTCCAGGTTGAATGTGGGCTTCAATCGAGGTACCTCTTCTATGTAGAATTCTCTGTGGGGCCGCATCAAAATCTGGCATTTCCGAAGTGTAATTATGTATAGGAGGTGGAGGTGGAGCTTCATAATATGCATCATAAAACTGACCAAGACTTTCATCCGGATTGTGGTCAGCATAAGGATTACCTTGATAACCATCCTGCTGGTATTGCTGTTGAGGTGGGGGTGGAGGTGGTTGAACCGATTGTTGGCTTGGGTATGTTCTTTGTGGTGGTGGCCTTGATCCGGTAGCTGTAGCAGGTCTAACAGGCATACTGCGTCCAATAGGCCCATTGTATGGTGCACTCATCCCTGGAGCTTCAATTGAAGAAGTTGGAGGACCATTTCCCATGGGTCCAGGATTATCTGGCAAAGTCATACTTCGTTGTGGAGGACTAAAATTTTCTCGATCATCTCGAACTGGTGACATAGGGTTTCCATATTGATCATAACCACGATCTCCATAACCATTCTGTCTAGGTGCGCCGCCATATCCTTGTCCTGGAGGTGGGCCGCCTCTCTCTGGGTAATCTTGTCTGGGTGGACCTTGAGTCATACTCCTTGGTGGTAGACCTCTTCGTTGATCTGGTATTCCTTGAGGTGGATACCCTCCTCTTGGTGCACTCCCTTGACTGTCCATTGAAGGTCGGCCATAATCATCATTAGATATGCCCCTCTTCGGTCCAAAGTTATCATGACTTCCTCTACTTCCAGCAGTTCCGGGTCTTTTTGGTGGAGGACTCGAAATATCTATTGCACCTAATCCTTTGGTAATTTCCTGTTCTGTGGACATTGCTGTTTTCTTCTTTGCTCCTGGAAATGAAGGAAAAGGGCTGTCAAAAGATGATGCTCCAGCTTCTGGAGATTTAGGAGGTGTCACTAAAGGTTTCCGAGGCCGTTGTTCTAAAAATTAAGTCAACATAAATATTCACTTCATACGACTTCCTTCCACTCACGTCCTGGTGCAGGTCTCATACGGTCATCCACTGGTCTACCATTTCCATTCACAGAACCGTTATTTGGAGGATACCCACCTCCCTGTGGTCCTCCATGCCCAACCCGGTTTGGAGGAGGTCTTTGCATTGGTCCACCTCTACCATTTGGAGCAGGTCCACCTCCTCTGGGTGGCATCCCACCTCTGCCATTCGCAAATTGTTCTTGTTGTGGAGGATAATTTTGATTCGGTGGATAACCTCTACCTTCTCCATTAGAGTTTGGAGGATACCCCCTTCCACGTCCCTGCGCATCTGGAGCATAACCACCTCTCCCCCCTCCATTCATATTTCCATAACCACCCCCATTCATATTTCCTCTGCCTCCGCCATTCATATCCTGATACCCAGCATTGTAATCTTGTCCATGTCCATTATCGTAATTCTCATATCCATAACCCCCTTGACCATAGTCATCATATTGCTGTTGGGAATATTGTTGTGCGGGAGCTTGTTGATATCCTTGTGCTGGACCCGGTCTTTGAGCAGCTCGTCCATTATATGGCCTCTGTGACTGTTGCTGGTATCCCTGATCATATGTCATGATTTCCTCTTCTTGTCTCTCCTTTTTATCCGATCCAACTTCGATTCCCCTCGCCCTTGTGTTCTTTGGCGCAAAATCTTAACAAATTGTAATAACACTACAACGATCAATCCATGGATACCAATTCTTCGAAAAATCTATGTTTTTGTAATCCAAAATTCAAATAAGCTTGAAAACTCGGTCTGCAATCAAAAAAATTGAGACTATCGCTGTTGTAAAGGGTTGATCAATCAATGTTTCGGGAATTGGTTCACTTCGTTCCAGGTAGGAAATGTTGTTGTAACTCCACAACGCAACTCTAGTTTGAGGATTGTCTCGGTATTGGTTCGCACGAAAAGCAGTGTTTGTGAATGTAAAGGATGATAGAAGAGAAGACTTGAGTGAGGGTCTCTGTCGATTGTGATCTTTCTATGTTGAAAGTACAAAAAGAATGCGTAATGTTATTAGTTAGTTGTGAATTTTGAAGAGGGTTTTCAATGTTCAAGACGGCTGGTCGGCTTGGGTGGTTGTCTCAGAGAATGCGGAGTGGGGGCGAGGCAGGGCAGGGTAGGGTAGGAGGGCAGGGGCGCTAATAAGGTGGATGGGGATGGGATCAATCAAGACGCAGTACACGAGACGTGTGTGATATTTGGTTATGGGATGTTATCTCGGTCAGATATTTCGATTTGCTGGCGAGAATTTTGATTCTTCTTTATTTGTCGTCTGTTGCTGCGCCTGTCTGTCGCGAAATGGAACCACAACAACACGACTAAGAAGCTTCTTGAATGTTGTTGGTTATGGTTGGCTCTTGTTGAAATGTATGGAGTCTATTTTCAGCAACTAACTTGGAAGATTCCGATATTCCGACGTCTTGGACTCTTGGCTTCTGGCTGATCAAAGTTATGTCGTTGTGTTGTTGGTGCAGAAGAAGAAATGTTCATGCGAAAGTTAAGTTCGTCTCAGGTGAAAGGAGGGAGAAGTCATTATTCGGATAGTCCCTTGGTAATATATCTGATAGTATCATCAGTCACCTAGTCGCATACACCGTCCATAGCATTATTAAAAGGGAAATTTAATCTCATAAATCGTTCTATAATTCATATGCATGCAACTTAAACCCTTTGAACAATTTCTCGCGCGTTACACATATGACAAGGGAGTTTAACTTTCCCATCATGATTCATCACTCACCAGCAGCCATAATTGGAGTCAGGTCCGAACGAAGAATGATTGGCTATCGCATTATAACCAGCATGTTGATAGTTACTCGACGAGATTCATAAGATCCACTGCATCAGAGGAAATATGAGAAACATGGCGTTGAGAGACCAAGTTTACATAAGATTTGAAAAGATCTTGGATCTTGTGATGTTATTGCGTTCAGCTGAGATCAAGGGCGTGTGTCTTCAATTCTTCGTCATCAATCATCAATTCAAGATAAATGAATGAAACTGATGAAGAGGACCAGGAGGTTGATGTGCTTGAATTGATCTGGGCTTTGAAGAGAGTCATTCTGTAACGGCATTACGACGTACATAATTAGATGTCTTGGCCATCCGAACTTGATGAATGCAGAGAGACAGGTATCAATGCGCGGGATGTATCAGGTATTTATGGCATTTTCGAGGTAGATACTTATTGTACTGTCTTGACTGCCGGCAGTTGTTATATGAAAATCATAAAATCTATGAAGTAGTTCTGGATCTGTGTCTACTCCTGATCATTTTACCCGAGTATTGATTATTAGAAGAGGTATTGAGTGAAGGAGCATCATCGGCATCACCTAAAATCTCATTCAGTAAGCAAACTCAATGCAATGTGCTCTTCAATATAACCTCATATCCGGGAATGGCCAGCCATGTTCATATTCATGCTCATGCTCTTCTCATTTCCGTCCCATCCCAGCTCCCCCATAACCCAATCACATCAACTAAAAACTGATGAAATCACTCTTCTCCAATTTGTCTCTCCCTACGCCACCACAGCCACAATCTCCGTTAAAAGGCATAGCCACAACAAGCTCTGATCCCAGCTTTGAACCGAAAATCATCATGTCATTGATCAAATTATCAACTTTTGACTTCATCGCCGAAAACAGATCAGATATTACAATTGCCGACCCAAATTTTTGATTTTCAAATCTAAGATACAATAATACATTGAATTAACAAAAAAGCAAATATGCCACCAAAGCCCACTAACTGGCGCATGTATGGCAAGATGGCTGTTGCGTATGTTTTTCTTCCTATCCCTTCCTCTTCCCACATCTTTCCCATTATCCCCCTCTCCAAAAGAAGAACGAATTGCTAACTCCTCTGTTGTTAGCGGCTTGACATGCTGTGTCGGCGGTCCAGCTCTGATCTACTACGTTTCTCCAACCGAAGAAGAACTCTTCCTGAAATATAATCCAGAGTTACAGAAGCGCAGCTTGGAGAATCGAGTAGGGAAACAAGAGGATTTCGATAACTTCGTGGCAAGATTGAAGGAGTATAGTAAGAGTGACAGACCGAGTAAGTTTTCTGTTGGTTTGTTTGTTTTAAGGGGAGAAAGCTGGGGCGAGATGGGAATTAGGATGAAGAGGATTTCCAGAGAGATCAAAGAAAAATTCTACAAGGGGGGACGCATGAGGGGTTTTAGGAATTGCCGTTACACTTGATCATCAAAAGAACCATACTAATCTCCATCCACAGTCTGGGTCGAAGCCGAAGAAGCCGCACGCAAAAAGCGTAGTGGAAAGATAGAAGAACAAGCCAAATTGATGCAAGAGATGCAAGAGAGGAAAGAAGAAATTAAAAAGAGTGGAACAAAATTGATGCCCGGGGGAAGTCTTTAATTGCAATCAAAGTGGCAAAGGAATGAAATTTGTACAACTATGGACATGGCGTTTGGTTAAATCATTATTTTTGATGATGAAAATTCTAAGGTTGGCGTAGAAGGGAGGAATGAAAATCTCAATGGGTGGGTTTTTGAAGCTGTATAGCTGCTATGTATGGTATGATATGATATTGATATTATGTTTCGCTGGAAGGTCGAGGTCTTCGCATACATCTTGATCTAAGACATTTCAATGCTGTGTGTTTTCGGATCCCAAGGAATTCTTTAACTTCAAGCATTAGATGAAATAAGTATATGGAGTATTGGTAGAAACCGAGAAACCTTTACGTGCTGCATTTCCGTCATTGCTCCCAATAGATCTCCATGATGATAATGAATATCACACATCACACAGCTCAATTCCCCCTCCCTCTCGTCTGATACTGATTAGCACATCCTCCCAATTCCCATATTCTTCTCCTCTACACAAGGTCAAAATTCGACACAATCTCATAGACATCGCATGTGATGTCGACAAATAAACCCCCATCTCATCACTCGAACCTACTAGACAATCGTATAGCATACTAGTGAAATAAATACCTTAAACAAACAGAGAGGAAAAGAATAAATATTCCTATCACAACAATTTACCTACCAGGGACTCATTATCTCGATAACCAATTCTAAACCTCACAAGCAAACAATTACAAACAAAAACATACCCTCACCGGGAACCCAACTACCCCGCCCCACCCGATACAACCCCTCTCTTGAAATTTCTTTGACCCCACCATGTTATTTCTTTATATACGCCAAACTCAATCACATTTTCAACAAACACTCTTCATCTATCAGATGAATCAGGCCTGCTGGCCCAATGGCAAGGCGCTTGACTACGAATCAAGAGATTGCAGGTTCGATCCCTGCGTAGGTCAATTATCTTTTGCTGTTTTTTTGAGTGCTGTGGGTAGGAGACGTGTAAGATTTGTTTTGGGGGTGAGATGGGAGATGGATGGGTGGTGGTTGTTTTGGGGGGGTTTGGAAGGAGGGGAGGGAGGAGATTTTTGAGATTGAGATTGGTGGGGTGGATGAGGTGGGGTAGAGCATTGCGGTTTGGAGGAGGGGGAGGGAGGGGTTGATTAGCGATTGAGAGATTGATTGATAGAGGGGTACGTGTAGGAGTGGTGCACTCTTTAAAATATACTTACTATGTGCAATATAAATTGGTATTTAAAATCATATGTTAGTTTCAAGATATTCAAATTAGGATCATAAATTTTAAAGCCCTATCTGTATCAATCAATAACTGATAATTAACTCGATATCGGAATAATATGTTGTTATTACTTCAACTCCATTTTCTTTGTGGAAAAGATGGAATATCGATTTTGGCATTTCACGATTAAGCGGAGCTGTGTGAGGAACTTAATAGAGGTTCATTTACTCGAATAGAGGAAAGGATAAGTAATTGATAGAGAGATAAAATCTCTTTCTGGGTAATTGCAAATGTCTAAATCATTTGAAAACGATGGATGCTAATGGAGAGGGATGGTATGTTGTGTTATTACCTGGGTGAATGATTTCAAGGTTCGGCGATATCTATCGGGGTATACAGCACGAGACGATGACTGTTCCCTGGCTGTACTGTAATATGTCTCTTGTGGATTGTGTTGTACGAGAGTTGTAGAGTCTGATGTGAGAATAAGACATTGTATGTGTAATTGGGTTTGTTGAGATGTATTTGTAACAAAGAAGTCTGTTGCATCAGGGGGAGGGAATTCTCGGATAACTATCTACTCATTCTGGATGTATATATAGGAAGAAGATAGTTAGATCTTGATAAGAGTGTAGAAATATTTTCTTTCTCGTGAGATGTGATGTTAGTATATATGTATGTTGATGTCCAGTCTCGGGATTAATTTCCCGTGAAGATTCAAGACTTGGAACGAGTGAGATAGATGTATCTAGTGATTATTCTACTCAATGGTTTGAAGACGAGGATGGGTAAGGGGAGTGAGAGGAAACTCTTCCTATACATTCGCTTGAGATTTGAAATCTCGAATGGGTAGGATAGTGTGTGTATTTACTCGGATTTAACATCTATTCTCGATTTTTCACTTAGTTTTCTCCTTTTGTCTTTTGGGTCTCCTGTGAGATTTTTCTTCTCTTTTATTATTATTTCGTAGTTTCGATTTTTTCTTCTTTTTACTTGTCTGCTTTATTATTCTTGTTTCTGCTCTTCCCGATCCTTGACGATTCTACTTGTGTCCTCGCTTCTTTTTGGTTTTCCTCTCCCCCTTTTTTCTTCTCCAGACCCTATACTTTCTCTTAAATGCGTTGTGTTCTTTTGTACTTCTTATATAATCACCCTCACTTACTCTTACTCTCTCCAGTGATTTTCTTCTTCAACTAATTGGTTAATACTGACACATCCTCCACATTCCATCTCATCAGCACACTCTTTGAAATCCGCAAGATAGAACAAATTCTTTAGTTTTATTCTACCATACTGTCATTATCCAGATCTCTTTATCTGATTTTTCCACCCTTACTTTCTCTTATTTCTCTTCCCATCATTTCTATAACCCATTTTATCAGCTACATCATGTAAAATACAGTACAACCTACAGAATATCTAGCCTAACCTATGAATGGATTTGAATGCACATTTAACGAATCCGTTCATTAGACTGAATATTCCAACATCCGAACATCCAAGAGAAAAGGCTTATAGCGTATCTGAGATATTGAAATAGTCATCCGGAATTATTTCCTTGTGACTACGATAAAGGATCCTATAAACCCTCTAACAGAGTATCCCTCGGAAAATCCATATGTATCTAGTATGTATATATCTATATACACAATAAGATCCCCTCATCCCCTTGAAATCATCTCAAGAAACTCCCAAACATCTCTCCTCTCATATCCCCCCCAATATAAAAGATACCAACTCCAACTCCTAGCCCTCCACAAATTGACCCCATCCCATATCCCTTCCTTTCCCCTATCCCCTCTCTCAATCTATCCCTCCCACAACTCAAAGTCATCTCGAAAAGAAACCCCTAAACCTACCACCTATATACAAGCAATCACATCACCCCCACAAACAAATTGTCCATCCATCCATCTAGCTCTCCTGCCTCCTTTTCCATATCCCCATCAACCCTCCCACCTATTCAACTGACGAGTTAAATCCCAATCTCGATGGCGAGTTGACCTCTAATAGCTATTATCTATTGAGCTAGAAAATTCTGAATTACTTCTTCTATTTCTGATTTCGGGTATACCGATGAATTTTGGAGGGATGTTTGAACGTTGTTGTATGCATAATAAATGGATTATTAAAGATGTCTACCTAAATACCTAGGTAACGAGTGAATATATACATATCCACTCCAATCAATTCAAGCATTAAGTTCATAGGTACCTACCTACTAATCATCATCCAAGCATCGCACATTGAGAGATATTAATATCCACCCCATTCCTCTCAATCTCACCTCATCTCATCTCATTACATATCATCTATACATACATACACCATACATCCTCGCAAACTCAACCCAGATACCTTTACCTACCCACCCAACAGCAAGTCCAAATTCAGGACCGAGAAAATTAATCATCTACACACTCTACTTGAACAGCAACACAAACAGATTCGTCAACAACTCGAAGACTCAGAACACGGGTCTCTCTCTAATTTCATCCCGACCCAGAAACCTTCATACTCTCCTCACCTATCGCAACCCCCCCCCCCCCCCCCAAAAAGCCAACATTCAAGCAGCTCTCACATTACAACTTGTTTCCCACTCTCCCAAACTCCAAACTCCATTCCCCATTTCCCATTCCCCTTCTCATCTCTCCCCCCTCCCAAAACAAAAAAATCATATTCCCTCACCACCATAGTATCAATCCCTAATTCATCCTCACGCAAAAATCGCCTGCATTCTCACATTTCACTCTTTACCCCTCAAACATCATCATCATCATCATCATCATCAAGAAACCAACAACAAAATTCTTTTGTTGCACATCTCACTCCTCGTACCAAGCTCAAAGAAGTAATTTACGGAATCCGTCCGGACTTTGTATCCCGACTTTCATGTTTTCAAGCCTTCGGATGTTCATGCATATTCCGCAGCCAAGTCCCGGATATCTTGTTGGGATGAATGGTCCCCGAGATGGTGCCCGCTGACCGGGTAGGGGGCTGCGGGCTGCGGGCTGTGGATTGGTGTTTACTTAGCCGGTTGGGTTATGTAGTGAGTTAATCGATCGAGTTGACGGAGTGGAGTTTGGTTGGATATTACAAAGCGGGGATAGGGCTGTTATTGGTGGGCGGGCTAAGAATGGGTTGATCACTGGATGAGATGTCGCCGATTTGGGTCGGATGTTGATGTTGGTCGCTAGGTATATATCTTCAAGGCTATCGAGATGGATGTGAAATGTTAATGGATTGATAAAAATCCATGGGTTCTCAACGGAATATTAATCCTTGATCAGGAAGAATTATCAAGATCCAATATGTACCGAAATACTGAGGAGACGTAGGGACTCTCTGTTCGAAATGTGGAAGTTGGGACTTCAAGATTCTGTACCTGGGTATCGTTGAATAGAGAACCAAGCTTGTGAAAGGATGAGATGGTACGATGGGGATGCGATTAAGCTTTACTTGCCAGCTAGATTATTGCGGATGAAATGCAACTCTTGTGTGAGGAGGTGAGTGTAGTTCGTTCCTATTCCGTTACTTCTTGCAACTCTATCATCTTGAATCTATCTACTCATTTGAAGCCGGTTCTATAAACAAAGAGACTAATGGAAATGATGAATTCTAGCCAGAAATCAATGAGATGCACCATCCTGTCATTTCCGCATGCCAAACCCATCAATTTCAAGTCCTTGATATACAGAAAGGACCTTCAGCCAATATGGCATTGAGAACCCTAACCATTATGAAACTTCGATGAAGAGTATTTCACCTCCCAGGACTAAATCTCACAACAGACCAACGTTTATAGACCGAAGAGAGATGCAATCATCAAGAACGATGAATCTGAAATATCCATGCGCGTGAAACAAATGATGACCGATGACCTGAAAAAACAACATCAACATTCAAGAACTGGTAGGTGTATCGAGAATGGGAATCATCCGGGAATCTAGCAACTCGACAATCACTTGAAGATCGTGGGTGAAACAATCATGTTTTCACGAGAAGAACGATCAAATATGTTGATGAATAGAATGTTGAGTCCTAGGATCGGGGTTTTGAGTTGCAGATTTCAATTGTGCGCAGGACAACCTGGACGGACTTGACGTATTTGATATACTGCGTAGTTTTATTCTGCAAACTGTCGAAAGATCACGCTGGATGATGCTCACATATGCATCACCTCATCACCTCATCATCTCTTGAATACTCGAAACTCCCAAATCCATACCGCAAAAGTAACAATCAAATATAATTTGAATATAATGCAACACATCTTCACCAATCCTATCGACATCATACACCACACAATTCAAGAATCCTGTTCATGATGGTCCATCCATCCATCCATCCACACATGCAGCACATCTTAAGACCCCAAGCATAAATCTCCTCATTTTCTTTAGACAGGTATACACACTCGGAATCGAAAGTCGAAACTCAAACTCGAGCCGAAGGATCCATGAAATCGTTATTGATTCCATAATCAATTCTTGTACCTCACCGTTTCTTTTCTATGCTGTTATTCTTTGAATTGGGTTAACTTTACCCCATCAGAAGTTTCAAGTGAGTCGCACGTGATGATCTCTATCTAAACTTTGAGAGTGCTTGAATAAGTAAGTATTTTGTAAGGTTATATCACTCACTTCGAGCTTCTCAAAATAATGATTTTGACATACAGCCACCAAATACCTATCTAGGTAGGTAGGTAGGTAGGTAAATAGTAATGTGTTATATTGATCGAGATATATGATCGAGAAGAAATCTATGTAGAACATAACATAACTAACATAATGTCTTATGGTTACTCAACCACAAGATAAATCTCTTCCACTTCCACTCCTCACTTCTAAGACATGTAATATCAAAGATACATCTACATACATACATACATACATACATACATACCTATCCAAGGATTCACATCGTCAAAGTACGGATACCTATAAAAAACCCACACAAGAGGAAGATTCCAAGATTCCCGCGATTGTATTATACCTAGGTATATCGTAGATGTGATCGATATCACGTACAAAGTATCATCGCCTCCCTCCCCCGCTTTTCGAATGATTGCCGATAGATTGGTCGCGTGCTCATGTTTTGTTACCGGTATTTGCCGGTGTGCTTGGGTAGGTTGGTCGGATTGTAGGATTGTTACTAGGTAGATACTCGGGATGCATTGTAGGCGTCGATCGGAGTTCTTCCGGATGGTCGGAGTTTTCCGCTTGCTTGCTTGCTTGCTTGGAAGTCGGAAGGAATGAATTTTTGAGGAGTGTTGAGTGGATTAGATTATGGAGATGTGGTTGTGTGAATGTGGATGTGAATGTGGATGTGGATGTGGATGTGAATACTGGATATTGGGATGTTGAAGATAGATCGCTGCTGGTACTTTCATAATCATATCATCATGGACCTAGGTAGGTCTGTACGGTGCAGTAAGAAAGATTCTCCATCAAAGGTATGTGTCTATGTATGTTAAGACTGAAATTGATAGAATTTGGAATCAGTCAAAGAACTCAATCCAGCTACTCTACAATCCGACACATTCAAAGCGTTCATCGCCATCAATCTTTCTAATGCCCGTAAATCAAAACCCTGTGCGTCGTCCCTGGAATATGCATGACGATAAGGTAGGAAAAGCCTATCTGGCTGGTTCCAACACATCATGACACGAGGCAATCTGCTGGGATGATTGAACCGATGAGTTGATGAGGTGATGAAGGTGGTGGTGGTATACGATGAGATGAGACTTTGAAGATGGTTTGGAGATGATGGTTGAGTGTGAAGTATAGTTTATAGAAAGTTCATCGATAGAGATGAACCATCAAGTTATCCCACCCCGAGTATAGATCTGTTCTAGATATGTTGTATGTTGTATGTTGTATGTTGTAGGTTGTATATTACCATGATCATGATTCTTCATCCCACCTAGGTAAGATGAAAGATCCACTTGATCTACCCTGAAGATCATACATAGCCTTACCACCAATTTTCTCTCTGGAGGATTCAAGGATTAAAAGATTCAAGGATTAAAAGATTTCAAGGTTAATGCAAGAGGAAAAAAAGAAGTGGGACAAGATATCTGGTTCCTGCTTTGTTGTCAGTGAAGCTTGAGTGAAGCTTGGAAATCGAGTGAACCATGCGGACTAGGTCGGGAATCAATGCATTCCAGACTTCGTGCTTTATGGCCATGGCATTCTGATACAGCAAGATTATGTATGTTGATTGATCCATTGGCATTGGAGTGTCTGACCTTGCTGTTGGCGTATGCACTCCAGCAGTAGTCAGTCATGCAATAATAACGACTCACGGATAATGATTTGTGACGTGACTGGTGACTGGTGACGGGTGTGCATTCAATACCACCTACCGGCGTCCTACTGGTTCATAAACTAATAAGTAAGGCTTGAGACGTGAGGCTTATCTACCATTGAGTTGAGTTGAGGATGGTGTTTTTGTATTCATTGTGATGGGTTGCAGATACACACACAGATACGTAGTGATACATGCTGACTGTTCTTTGGATGCATTTAGAATACTGTAACATGCCCACGTCCAGGTGTTCATCGTTGTGGTCGTTTCTGTTCATCACATTCTTTGACGTCTGCCACAATCACACATCATACTACAAAGTGAAGTACGAAGGAATTACCAACATTCATTGATCCACCATTATTAAGGTTATAACTCTACTGCCTGTATGGACCGATACCGAGTACAATCGCATTTCCACTTATATGGAGCAGATCTTACCACCCCCTCCCTTCCCTTCACCGTCCCTTCGTACCCTCGTACTCTATCACAATCGATAAGCGCTTTACCTTGCCTTCCTTGTCTTGCCTTAAACGTCAATCCCCTCCTTTCAATCCATACTTGAAAACTTAGCTCGGCTTCTTCGGAGAGTCATGGATGGATTGGGTGATTGGGAATAATTGCATGACAAAGATATTGTTCTTCCTTACTTTTCTACTTTTCAATCATTCCATTCACATCTATTTTGAATCAATTGATTACCTGATCCACCAACAAAGAAACTCAACCAACACCAACACCAACACCCACCCCTCTTCTTGAAGTCCGATCGCAATACATCTCTAATCGCGAATAGATCCGCTGGTCGTCTCTTGAAACCCTCAATGATTTAGTCCACCCATGCCAATTCGCCATTTCCTTGAGTTTAAGATACCCTTTTTTGTTCAAACGCCGTATACGAAGCGTTACAATATGATTTCCATCCGACGAATCCTACTGGGAACCGTCCTAGTCTGCTTGACTTGGTTCGGAGCCACCTCATTACATCGATACCTCGATCCGAACACACACATATCAGAGGAAATGAGAGAGGATGCGCGCTGGATCGCTACATCAAAACACTTCTTGGATAGACAATCATGTAAATGGCTTGGTCTCTGCGGGCTTGCTCACTATCATTCCGATCCGGCTTGGAAACGTCGATTAAATAAAGTTGCAAGAGATCAGAAGGTCATGGGAGATGATGACTTGGATGCAAGTTGGGTAGAATGGGATGATGCCTACAAGAATGCTCCCAAGATGCGCCCAGACGATTTGCATGGCGATGATCGAGTGTTGAAAGAAGTTCCACAATACGTTCTTGACCACGCACCTCTTGTACATCTTTACTCGGGGGAGAAGTTCTGGCCTGCGGACATCGAGGAACATTTAAATCATGTCACTCCTTACGAAAATCATACTTCACTACATATGAATACTTCCGAACATACATTGCACAATTTACATCTACTGAACGAAGGACGCAGAGGTCGACTTTTATTTATGCAAAGTAAAGACGATGTGGAAGATAGACCCAGGTGGCTTGGGAGTGCTTACAACAAACCTATACCTTATGAAGATGAAATCAAGCATGATGAGGATTGGGAAACAGTAGAAGAGGAAGAAGAGAAGGAGTTCATTGAGACTAAAGAAGATGGCCAGGAAGCCTGGGACGATGCGAGTGATGAAGATAGGATGAATATTGTCGCACCATTTGAGCCAACCTTTCGCGCACAACCTCAAATTACCAGACAGCGCAAGCGCAATTTGAAGAAGCGTGGAGATTCTTCCGGTAAACCAGATCAATCAGGATATTCCCCAGCTCCGGCGACATTGATTATTGTGGACAAAGGACATGGTATCGTGGATGCGTTTTGGTTTTACTTTTATTCCTACAATCTTGGCACAACCGTTTTGAAGATGCGATTTGGAAATCACGTTGGTGATTGGGAACATTCTCTCATTCGATTTCATAACGGTGTACCGAAAGCTGTTTTCTTCTCTGCCCATTTTGGTGGGTTGGGATATCATTACAAAGCAGTTGAGAAAGGTCAAGGCCCAGGAAGAGAAGGAAGACCAGTCATTTATAGTGCCGTGGGATCTCATGCAATGTATGCGACTCCCGGTACACATCCATACGTTTTACCATTCAAACTTCTCGCAGACGTCACAGACAAAGGACCGATCTGGGACCCCGTCCTTAATTACCGAGCCTATTTCTTCAATACTTCTCTCACTCACAATGTCGATGCACGATTCGCAACCTCGAATTTTCCAGCTCAAACAATGGCTGATTCATTTCAACCCGCGGCACAGAATCCAGATGCACCCACGGGTTGGTTTTGGTTCAATGGCCATTGGGGAGATAAATTTTATGAATTGTCTGATTGGAGACAGTGGAGATTTGTGGGTCAATATCATTATGTGAATGGACCACTTGGACCGAAATTCAAAAATTTGGGGAGAAGTAGAGTTTGTCAATCGGGGCTGAAATGTATTTTGGTGGATAGTTTGGAAAAGGGGAAACATAGGAGTTGGGTTGGGTAGATGTGAGATGAGATGAGTAGATTTTTTTTTAAAAGAGTTGAGATGAGATGAGATTGGATGTGATAGACTTGGATTTTGGTATCCTTTGTTTGTCTTTTGTCGTTTGTGAGATTGAGTGAGTTTTGAAGATTTAGACTGGTTGGGTATAGATGGATAAATCGATATTTTTTATTTGGGGTTTGTTTGGGAATTGGATGGATGGATGGGCGGGGAAGGGAGGTGTTTTTTGAATTTTACTTGGAGATGGAGATGGTGGTGGACATGGAGGCGATGATGATAACGAAGACGACGATGGAGAAGATGAAGTGGGAAGAATAATGACATATGCATTGGATGAGAGGCGTCTAGGAGCAAAGCGGTACGAAATGGTGAATTTTATGGAATTCGTTCATTGGAGAGAAGGATGGATCGGAATTGCATTCTTTAGTGGCATCCGAGAAGGGAGTTTATAGTGGACAGGTGGAGGGAGGTGGTGTGGTGTGGTGTGTAGATGGATGGATGGATGAATATACTTATCTTGTCTATATATAGAGAGAGAAAGAGAGAGAAAGAGATATGAGTATATGAATATATTATTTATGAATTAGACTCTTTGTGTGGAGTTGAGATTGATAGGTAGTCATTGATGGGTAGTTATGGGTAATATTTTGTGTATGTGTGTTTGTGTGTATGAGTGATGGAGCGATTGAGAATTAACATAGAGTGAGCGCCTGAGTATAGTGTGGAGAGGGATCTCTGGCTTGAAGAGTTTGGAATTGGTATTAGGAGGGATTTTGGATTTTAGATTTTGGATCTGGTTGAAATGAGGGATTTGAGGTGGTGGTGAGTGGAAGGGGGGTGGATGGAGTGAATGGTTTTGGGTAGATGGTTTTGGGTAGATGGTTTTGGGTAGATGGTTTTGGGTAGATGGTTTTGGGTAGATGGTTTTGGGTAGATGAATATTGTGTTTCTTGTGGGGGTAGGAAGTGTGATTAGGGATGGGGATGAGAGGAAATGAAGGGTTTGGGGGTGGATGGATGGATGGATGGATGGATGGGGAGGTTGAGAGGTTCAAAGGTTGAGAGGTTGAGAGAAGGAGAAGATTAAAGAGGTAGGGAGTAGAAGTGGGAAAGGGAACGAGAGAGGGAGAAGGAGAAAGGTTTCATGGATGAGTGAGAAATAATGAATGATTAGATGAGATGAGATGAGATGAGATGGAATTTAGGAAATGGGAAATGGAAAATATAGGAGGGGCAGGGGAAGCAGATGAATAGATTAACAGAATATGTGATTATCACATGAAGAAAGATTTTTAGTTTGAAGAGTTTGGGAATTGGAATTGGAATTGGAATTGTTATATTTCTAAGGAGAGGGAATTTGAATATGTGAATAGAAATATTTAGGTGGGAATCGAGAGAAGTAGGAAAGAAGAATTTGAGAAATTGATAGATTAGAAGAAAGATTGGGATAAGCGGTTGGAATTTGGAAAGAGGAGAAGGTTTGTGTGTTTGTGGGGATGAGTGAGAGGTGTTGAGTGATTAGATTGGATGGATGTTGGAAAATAGAAAATGGAAAATATGGGTGGGAGGAGGGGGAGTAGGTGAAGGCTTGATGGATTGAGATGTAGAGTAAGAGGGGTCGTAGAGGGAGAAAGTAGATGGAAGATAGAATGAGAGGAATTTCGAGGCATGGAATGGGTATGTGGCATTATATGTGACAAGACTGGCAGTTGGAGATGGACGATAGGAGAAAGGAGAGAGGAGAGATAATAGAGTTGGAATGAGAGGGGGGATGTTGAAAAGGAGATGGAATGAAGAGGTGGGTATGGATGGATTAGCAAATGAATGGGGATCTAAAGGAATAGATAGGTAGGAGGTTTGAGTAGATAGTGTTTTGATGATGAGAAGAGGTGATAAAAGGAAGAGGAATAGGAAAGGGGAGGAGATAAAAATTGAGGTTTAGATATAACCGAGTGTAAGAGAGTGAGAATAAGAAGAGAAGCGAAGGATCTTTTAGAAACAATCAAACATTTACAAAATCAAATGTAAAGAAATATCAAGATGGAACCAGAAATTTCAAACATAGTATTTCAGTATCTTGATCTTCCTCTTTGTGATGTCGTCATTGTTATTGTTCATATATCTGGCTGATGGTAGTGCCTGGTAGCAGTGTGATAAAATCTGCCCAGCCATTAGCGGACGAACCTCTAAAACTACTAGTAGGTTAGCTCGGTTAGTGGGTGTGGCACGGAAATGCGCCTCGTCGCCTAGATACAATACTACCTTGTCGTTTCATTTCATTCCCCCCCTGGTACTTTCCCAGAGCGGAACAGAACATCATCTTCCCCGATGCGATTCCCAACTGGATGGGAATAAATTGTCGCTCATGATTTCTAGATATAGACAAAGCTCCTCCGGAAAAAATATGGTGATTCAGAAGAGTTCTTTGTCTACCTATCATTGTGATTTCGACCGTGGGTGCGAAACAGTATCCTGGACGATTGGATGGGTGGAGAGCCAACTTGTCACCAACATTTTCAGCAGCTTTGGTTTTGATGCGGCTCAGCGGTTTGGGGGCGATTTGAGTAGAGATTGGAAGTGCAAAGTGCATCAAGGAAGGAGAGGCACAGATTGATGGTGTGTTGTGGTATTTTTTGGTTGTTTATGGTCATGCTTTTTCTTGATTCGATGAGTTGCGCATATACGTACATCATTTTGCAATTGTTTGCGAATTTTTATGCTTTTTTCTTCTCCTCCAGCGTTTGCAATGTTACCATGTTTATCATTTCAATTAACATTATCGAGATTGATCCGCGCGGAAGCCCGCATTGTTATTCATGGTTGCATATCCGCGTGTATATGATTGGTTATTTGGAGTTGTAGGCCTCAAAATTATAGCAAGTTTTAGAGCAGCGGTTAACCCTAGAATCATGCCTGCTTTTTATTGATGGAGGGGCTCGGTAATATGCATGTATTGCATGAATCAGCCTCTCCGCAGCATGCTCAAGGGTGGCCGTTTGGGAGGCCTTGTTGAAGGGGAGGGAGGTAGGTGAATAGGTGAGTTGAGCGATTGAGGTACAAATATGATGGGATAACCTCTGGTTTAGTTTTTGTTCACAGCAGATTTCCTTGTATGCATTCCATTTCTACTATTCTTAACAGTATACCTTTTCAACGCAATCAAGCGATGCAGCAATCAGTTATCTACGATCGGGAAATTTTTAGACACGAAAGAACTCCCCCATACACAACCAACATGTCTTCCTCTCGTGGATCATCTGTTGTTGTAGACGATGAGAGCTTTCACGATAGTCCTATTACTCCTCAGAGTCCGATTCCCGAAAATGAGCTCAAGACTACATCTTCTCTCAAAGGTCTACAAACGGAAGAGCAGCAACGTGTTCTTGATACCGTTGCACATTTGAGAAAGTGTGGCCTCGAGAATACTCTGCCCCTTCCACAACTTGTCGTTTGTGGTGACCAATCTGCTGGTAAAAGTGAGTATAACAATTTATCTTTGGCTTTTTGGTGATTTCAGATGGATTTTGCGTAGAAGTTATACTGAACTTTACATCCACAGGTTCGGTTCTCGAGGCGTTGACCGAGATCCCTTTTCCGAGAAATGACAATCTGTGCACTCGTTTTGCAACTGAGATTAGTCTCCGTAACGCTGACACGAAAACACTGACAATCAAGATTATTCCGGATGATGAGCGGCCATTTAAAGAGCAGGCCGCGATCAAAGAGTTTGTGGAAAGCATCACAGATTTTGATGACCTTCCTAGAATCATGGATCTAGCCATGGACGCTATGGGCATCAGTGCCAAACTCGACCCGAATGCTCCACCACGGGCATTTGCGAGAGATGTCCTGAGCATTGAGTTTTGTGGCCCAGATTGTCCTCAGCTGACTTTGGTCGATCTTCCGGGTTTGATCGCCTCTGAAACTGTGGAAGCAACAGCTACCGATGTTGAAACGGTCGCAGCCATAACAGAGCATTACATAAAGCAGCCTCGAACAATTTGCCTTGCTGTTGTCTCTGCAAAAAACGACATTGCGAATCAGCAAATCTTGAAGAGAGTGAGGGCCCACGATCCTCACGGAGATCGCACTCTTGGTATCATCACCAAGCCAGATACTCTTGATAAAGGCTCTGGAAATGAGAAAGCTTTCATCAGCTTGGCGAAGAACGAGAATGTTAGATTTAGACTGGGTTGGCACGTGGTAAAGAACCGAAGATACGAGGAGAGAGATTTTTCTCTGATGGAACGTAACATGGCGGAAGATTCTTGGTTTCGCGCCTCTAACTTCAAGACTTTGTCGAAAAATCACATCGGTATTGAACGACTGCGTGGTCGTTTGGCCGCTCTGTTGTTCCAACACATCAAGAAAGAACTCCCTCAGCTCCGCCGTGACCTTGAAACGCAACTTGTCACTGCAAGCGAACAACTCGGGTTGCTCGGTGATGCTAGATCTACACCTTCTGAGTGTCGAGCATATCTAGTGCAGCTCAGCACAGACGTCCAAAAAATCTGCGCCGCTGCTGTTGATGGACATTATGAAGGGCGATACTTTCAATGTGAAGTTAACTCCGAGTTCAAACTCGATCAAAAAGCAGCTCTTCGTCGTATGCGAGCTTGTGTTCAAACGATGAACTCTCAATTCACGGAAGTAGTGCGTAGAAAAGGTCACAAATACCAGATCGACGATTCTGTAGGTGCACAATCGACAAGAGGAACGATAGAAGCAGAAGAAGCAGTTGAAGAAGGCAAGCCCGAAAGACTTACAAAGAAGGAGGGTCTGGATTGGGTGAGGCAAGCACTCACTAGAACTCGTGGAAAGGAACTCCCAGGAAATTACAACCCTTCACTGATTTCAGAGCTATACTGGGAGCAATCCGTGAAGTGGGAAGAACTCGCCGCAGAACACATTGAACGAGTGTCCGATGTGTGCACCGAGTTCCTCAAGAACTTACTTCTAGAAATGACCCCAAGAGACGTTGAATCCCGCCTGTGGTCATCCCGGATCGAGGACGAGCTGAGAAATCGCAATGCTGCCGCAGCTCGAGAGTTGGATAACTTGATTGTAGACAACATGAATCATCCAATTAACTACAACCACTATTACACCGATACAATCAAAAACCGCCAGCAAGAACGAGCAAACGCAGAACTCGAAAAATGTTGTCAGGATGCTTCGGCCAGTGTTGAGACATCTGAAGGAGTGCAGCTAGGTCCTGTGATCCAAAAATTAAAGGAAAGTCTCTTCAAAAGCACCGAGAAGGATATGGAAGTCGTTTCATGTGAAGCGGCTTTGGATTGTGTCATGGCAATTTACAAGGTTTGTTTCCTTTCACCCAACGTCATTTACTGAATATTGACTAATTTGTCCTGTAGGTCCTTCAAAAGGTTTTCATCGCAAACGTAACTACCCAAGTAGTTGAGCGTCACATTGTTCGCGGATTGGAACGCATTTTCGACCCTGTTGCTGTCAACAAGATGTCTGATCAAGATGTGGAGGCGATTGCTAGCGAGCCAGGCCAGGCCAGACAGGAAAGAGCATATTTGGAGGACCAGATTAAGAAGCTTGGGGAAGGCAAACGAATCTTCCGAACAATCATGAGCGGTGCTACTACACTCTAGAATGTCTAGGGTTATTTGACTACGTGAGAGAGACAATTGTGAGATGCGGCTCGTGTGAAGTTGTCGTTTCTGTTAGGCTGCGGAATTGGTTTTGATGGATCGTTGTTGTGGACGTGGGTGTTGCGGGTAGAGTGGAAGGAAGGATAGTGCCGGCGAATACCGTACCGCGGGAGTACATTTCCTTTTTGCTTCAACAATAACCGTTGTACTACTAGGTGCTTTCATTATTATTGTCGTTATTGTAGCTGTTTATACCCCATTAGTGCGTTGGTGCAACAGTATGGTTTTCATCTTCATCAAAGTGTTATGAGTGACAAGATTCACAAGTGATGTAGAGAAAGTTAAAAAACAATTAGGTTGCTATCTGAGAGAATCTTAGAAGTATGAAGGTCTTAACATGAAGAAACGAGCCGATACACTTCGGATAAACTACACTATATACAGCTAGGCTAGTGCTAACTTTTCTGCACAAAGTATCTACAGTGGACCAAGTCTACGGTGAAGACAAATTCCAACGCTTATTCTCCAAGAGTCCCCAGCATGCCTTGAAGACTCCACGGGCCCATTCTTCCGATGGTTATCCTGATCCGCATCTTTCGTTCCGCATCTTTTCGGTCCCGGGGTAGATTGTCGTATCACTGATTGGTCAGAATATCTCTAGATCCGCGGTATAAGGCTGATAAGATAAGATGCCTTCGCAAAAACCTTCTAGGTTTGTTAACTGATTAGTCAGTCGCAAAGCTTCTTGCCGTGGGAACCGTTCTTTTCCCGGTTTGGGACGCATCTTTTACCTTGCTTGAGGGTCAGGGTGCGTGGAATCGGTGGATGGAAGATGTCACTACTCTGTACGTACGAGGACTGGAGAATCGATTGATAGGATTGGTAACATGGATATGTATTCGTCATTAAGAGGATCCCTTGTGTTTATTTTCGTAAGTGGAGTTTTTTTCTAGATTGTTTGGGTAAGTGGTCGAAGTGTAACTGCGGTGATTGTTTTGCGCTTTTTACTTCATTTCATTTTGAAGATGCGTTTCCTGGTTCTTGTCTGTTCTTCTGGGATTGGTTTCCCGTGGTTGCGATTTTGTGAAGTTTGGAATTGCAGAGAATCTCGAGATTGTAGGGAAGTTGTAATAGCGAGGTAAAGAAAGAAAAGAAGCATATGATGCTCAATTCCGATACCGAGACGGAAATCGAGGGGGAATTGTCGGTGCGGGATGTAGAGAAGGAGGAGAGAGCAATGGGGAATTCAAACGCCACTTCAATGCTGGATCACGATGGAGAAACGACAGATGTTGAGACGCCACCTCGACGCCCAAGTTCGCAATTGTCTAGACCGCAGTCGCATTCGCAGTCTGAGATTCAGACAAATCCTGTCGCCGATCACGAGAAAAGTTCGGGTCCGAATGAGAGTCGAGATGAGAGAATATTGGTGGGTTGGGATGGGGATGATGATCAAGGGAATCCGCGGAATTGGTCGATGTTGTACAAGAGTTGGATAACGTTTCAGTTGGGCATGTTGGCTTTGAGTGCGAGTTTGGGAAGTAGTATCATTAGTCCGGCGGGGAAGACGATCGCGGCATATGTTGGCGTTGGATCGGAAGTTAGTGTGTTGAGTATCAGTCTTTACATGTAAGTTTTATGTTTTACTTTTTGGAAATGATGAGGGTGCTGATACATTTTCGAAATAGATTGGGATTCGCATTTGGACCACTTTGCTGGGCACCAATATCTGAGCTTTGGGGAAGAAGATGGAGTATGTTACCCCCACTGTTTTGCCTGGGACTATTCTCCATTGGAACAGCTACAAGTACAAACGCGGCATCGATTTTTATAACGAGATTCTTTGGAGGATTATTCGGATCGGCACCTGTTTCGAATGTTTCTGCAGCGTTGGGAGATATGTGGAGTCCTAAAGCTCGAGGAACGGCAGTTACATTCTATGCAGTGGCAGTTGTAGGTGGACCGACACTAGGACCTTTGATCGGAAGTGCATTGCTTGTGAATCCACATTTGGGATGGAGATGGACAGAATATCTGGAAGCGATTTGGGTATTCGCAATGTTCGGATTATGTTTGATTTGTCTTCCCGAAGTCTATACTCCCGTCCTACTCAAAAAGAAAGCCGCTCGTCTTCGCAAAGAAACCGGCAATAATGCCTATTATCATCCACACGAAGAAATCAAACTCGATGCCAAAACAATTGTCACAAAGCATTTCTCAAGACCCCTCCTAATGCTTACAACAGAGCCAATGGTTACCTGTATAGCATTCTACGCCTCCTTCGTGTACGCCATCCTCTACCTCACTCTCGAAGTCTTCCCCATCGTCTTCTCCGATAACCGCGGCTGGTCCCCCGTCATAGCGTCCCTCCCTTTCCTCGGCCTCTTCGTCGGAGTCAACCTAGCCGTCGTAGTCAATCTTGGCAATCAACCCCGCTACGCCCGTATCGTCGACGCAGCAGGTGGACGTCCCGTTCCCGAAGCCCGTCTCGCCCCCATGGCACTCGGAGGCATTCTATTCGCAATCGGACTTTTCTGGTTTGGATGGACGGCTGCGCCAAATATTCATTGGATTCTTCCAGTTATAGCTTCGGTATTTATAGGCGCCGGGTTTAATATTATCTTCCAACAGTGTATCAATTTCCTAGTCGATACTTATGCGTTGTATGCGGCGAGTGCGGTTAGTGCGAATACTTTCCTGAGAAGTATTCTGGCGACTGGCTTTCCACTGGCGGCGGGCCCGATGTTTAGAGCTATGGGCGTAGGACCAGCAATGAGTGTGTTGGGTGGAGTCGCTACTCTGGCGATACCGGTGCCGTTTTTGTTTATGAAGTATGGAGTTGCGTTGAGGAGGAAGAGTAAGTTTGCTCCTTTTAAGGATTAGATGGAGGGGATGAAGGGGTGAGATGAAAGGTTGTATATATAATTTTAGCACATAGATTAACAAGATAAGTTTAGCAATAAGAAATAAGAAATAGTTATAACTCTTGTTGTTCAGTAATACACGGGTTCGAAGAATAAATTTTTTCGTCCCTGTTTCTTTCTTCTTTTCTTTTTTTGGAAGAGTTCTTCATCAACTCTTGAACCACATCTGTAATTATCGAGGTATTCAACTCATTCGCAACACTCATACCATTTTCCCTATCATACAAACTGCGCAATCATCTCATTATCGCTAGAAACATTCAATAAAATAAATGTAACCCCGAGACGACGTATATGAATCTAACATCTAACGCTTCTCATCTAGTGAACTTCATTTTGAAGTTAAATGATGTTCAAATTGATTGATAGATTCGAAATGTATGTGGTGGTATAGGTTTATATCTAAGAGGGGTTTAGATACTTGTGTATCGAGGGATGTCTTTCTTTCTTTCTTGCCGGATGGAAAGTGATTAGGTGTTAAGTTGTGTGTGGTATAAGTTTTGTTTTTTGTGTGTGTGTGTTTTGGCTGTAGTAGTGCTTTTGAACGAATGTTGTTCATGAGATTGTCGTCAGAATATTACACATACTTTTTCTCAAAGTGGTCGCATTGCGTTGACATCATCATTCGCTCAAATCAGAAGAGAATCGGAATATCTCCTCTTCCCTCATACCCTGTCAAGGTTGGTAGACTCGAAGCTGGCATCGGTTCGTTTGACCAAAGTCGACATGAAATATTGGGAATTCTTTCTACATCTTTGGTTCTCGGACTGGAAGTGTTGGGAAGGATATGGCTGTTCCTTAGCCTGAGGGTCGAGATTATGAATAGGTGCTACCGTAGAGGATTGATTCTTAAAGCGAAGTTCATTTAACAGCAGATGTTGCTTCTGAGAATGATTTCGTGGTGTTTATGGCTGGTGAAGTTTTTCAACATCTTTATAGCCTTGTGCTTGTGGAGTGAAAAGATAGAGACTTGGAGGTTGTTTTTTGATGCTGAGGGTCTTCAGAGTATTTTGAAAATCACAGGGGCAGGATAGCTTTTGAGTGTTGAAGCGTAGCAAGACTTTTCATTGAGCCCAAAGAAAATTGAATACGAGTAGTGTGGGAATTAATAGGAGAAATAGACGAAGAGATTCCAGTAGTTGCGATGTTCCTTGAAGAATCTAAACTTGACACACCAATGAAAGCGATGGGCTTTGAAAAGTTTCTTACATCCCGAAAAGGTTCTCTTGTACAGCACTGGTACACTTACCGGAACTCCTTCGTTACAGAAAGGGAAGATTGAGCCCGGGGTCTGCGAGTCCGGTTTTCTTGTTATAGCATGAGAAGCTGTATATGTGATGATTATAGGCCGAAAAATCCATGGTCAGACTTTCCTCGTGTTGCGGAGTATTTTGTTACTTTTGCGATGAGCGAATGGGAAAGAGGTATCATAATTTAAATAAATTTCATACGCTGAGTGTACAAGGTCGGAAGGCAGATGATGATAGAACTAGCTATAACAACTCTAGAAGCTTTCCGCTCCATGATTTGGCAAACACAAATCGTTCGGGACTCATTACAGCGACCTCAATCCCCATAGCCGTGGATGCTTGAAGAAAGTCAGTTTCAGGTATTTTTGATATCGTTACGGAAAGACCAGAAACCGTGGAGAGCAGAGAGTAAAGAGAAAACGGGTTGGTCATGCAAAGTCGGTTTAGAGTTGTGGTCCGTTCTTATACCGATGATTCAAACTATCCATACGAAGTCTTTGGTAATCTAGCACACGAAACTCGAAACAATGAAATTGCAGATTTATATCTCAGTCATCACAATCGTATAGGAGAGGAGAGCAATGGGCGCAAAGAGACATTAAAGAACAAGATGCTAGAAGATGAGGAATATAAAGCCATAAGAGCGGAGTTGAATCAATATTTCATGGATATCTCACAGGCATTTATTGATGTGGATAAGAGATTTGTCAAAGCTGTAAACACACATATGGAGAATATTGTGGGAAGTATTTGAGTCCGTGTCTGGAAATGGTGTAGGGAGGATTATATTGGGGAGAGGGTGGGTGATGAGCAATTTCGATTTTTTGATTAGAAAGGCTCTCGGTAGAGGGCTGGAGTGAAGAGCTTAGGGAGGGAATGGGCAGAAAATGGAGGATTGGGGGGCAGGGTTGGCTCGATATCAAGGATCAATGCTTAAGGATGTGTCGGAATATAACAAATGAATTTTTATGGCACATTCGAGAACTCAAGGCTAGATATTCGATATCAAACTAATTGATGAAGCTAGAATGTTGCTTAGCATCGAACAGTTCTTTAAACTTATCACCCCGATTTTCTCACCTCATGTTACTCGTAACTTTGAATTTCCCAAAAATTTGTGTAGCACAAATAGCGGAGCACCCCTGAACTCAAAGCAAGTAATCCGACATATCGCTCGCTTAACCTTCTTCGAATTTTTCCCCGCATTGTACACTTCACACCGGCATATACCGAAACGACCTCTCGTTTTATACTTGAATCATTTGTTCAAAACTGCTTGAAATTCTTGGAGTATATTGTAATAAAAGTCGTGAAAAAATATCGCATCTTCAAACTACGAAACGATGGCACCCCAAAATTTGCTGGAACTGTTGCGGTCGAGGACGGTGGTTGATTGTGATACCATGGAATTTGAGGGTGGGATCGCCTGTATGAATTGACACACAACTTTTTCTGACCATAAATCACAGTTGCGAAATCTCTTGGTCCGTTCACAGATTGTACTTCCAACCAAGCAATTGCATTTTTTGAGCTCCAGAAACCGGAAAACAAAACACTTCTCGAAGAGACAGCGGAAACTACGCAAAAACTACTGAGAACGCAAGATTACCAAGATGTGAAGTTTTCAGAGCTAGCAGTCGAAGTTGCGGTATGTGAAATCCACTTGAAGTATAGATGAACGTGAAAAGCTTATTGAATTACCTAGATGGTCAAATTACAACTTGCAATCGCGAGCGTAGTCACAGGGTTCGTTCATGTTCAAACAAATCCTTACCATTCGTATGGCACCGAAGAAATGATTCAAGATGCAAGACGTATGTCCTTCCTTTCACTTGAAGTATTGACAGGGACTAAAATATCCAGGGATTATCTCCATTTTTAGACATCTCGATTCAGGCTTTGACACTAATCGTATTTGCCTGAAGATACCAAGCACCTGGGAAGGACTCCAAGCATGCAAATTTTTAGAAAGAGAAGGAATAAGAACATTAGCCACTACACTTTTTAGTATCGAGCAGGCGGCTTTGGCTGGAGAGGTACAGTGCACTTATGTTGCGCCTTACGTTAATGAATTGAAAGTTCATTTCGATGCGGGGTATATATCCACCCATTCCTGATTGAGATCAGATCATCGTGATTGCATTTAAAAAGGCTAACCATAACCAGGTTCACTGATACCAATAAAGCACATCAGCTCTGCTTCGAAATTCAACAATACTACAGCAAAAATAATCTCCGAACAAAAGTACTACCAGCTAGTCTGACGAATATTGATGAGATTATGACGCTAGCGGGTGTAGATCATATTACGATTGCCCCGGCTCTATTGAGAGATTTAGCGGCTACAGCCGTGGAGGGTTATGAGGTGAAATCCCTATTTGATGGAGATGGGCGGGAGGAGTCTCAATCTACCGCGTTAGAGTTTGACAATGATGAGAGCTTGTGGAGGATACGTTTCACGAGGAGCGTAAAAGGAGAGGCAGAAAGAAAATTGAGTCAAGTAAGTTTCTATTAACAAAATCTCTTCAAATCAGCTGTGATGTAGACTTTACTGATTTTGGATATTCTATACAGGCCATAAATATCTTTTGTGATATGCAGACACAGTTGGAAGCGATGTTTGAGAATTAGAAAAAGAGTATATATGGTTTGATAAGAGTACTATTAGACACAAGGATGCCGGTCTGAGTGTTAATCCAAGCAATGTTAGGCTCAGCTCAATATTTCTCAAATTATAGCCATTTGCAATTCAAAAGCACCGTGTCCTACCTATTGCCCTCTTTGTGACCCCCACTAAATGGCTTCAGGGGCGTAGGCTCTGATCAGATGCCTTAACGGGTGGATTTTTGAAATGCCCTCTCTCAATCATAGATAAAGCCATGTACACCATGATCTATGCGGAAAGCGTTTCCCCGGGGTTTGGGAAGTTTTATTGGCTTGAACGGAGAACAGTCATTGCACGGTGATATACCTCCTCTCGGCTAAGGCTCGCTCAGGATAGCCCAAAGCATCGCGATTGTTCAATACAAGATCTGCGAAGTTCGGAGCTCACTCGAAAGTTCGAGAAATACGAATGTTATCGAGGCGAATAGCAAGAGGATATCAACTCGTCCTACGAGGAAGGGTAGTGTTGTAAATCTTGTTTTTAGAGATTTATATGAATCGAACCAGGGCGCCAAATCTGAGTAGTAAATTTGCATGATACTCACATTGCTTGTCCAAATACCAAGGCTCGTTCCGCTTTCGAGATGCGTCACTCTCAACATAGACTCCGACGCATGCTAATCTTTATTCTTTGCGACGGGAACGAAAACTACAGTGGGCTCAATTCGATTGAATGTTTACTTTGGCAAAGAGATCTCGAGGAACCATGAAACAGTTTATCTAGGCATCCGATGCTATATCCACGATCATATTGACATATAATATTGGAAATTGGAGTGTTTGGACGGGAATACATGAATGAGCCTAAAGAAGCATGCGAATGCTGTAGATTCGGCGGGGTGTTTGATAGCTGGAAGCAATTTTGAGTGGAATTGGTCGAGACAAACTGAGCATTCTTCGCATCCTTTCAACCATCATTTCGAGAGACCTCACGAAAAAATTCGTGGCAAACGACACTTATCTACAGCAGTAGATTTGATCATTATTTGAAACAAATTCAATCTCTTCATTCTATTCTATAGAACAAAGCACTGTCAACTGAGACCTCTGAAACCCGAGCCTTTATCCTCTTGGGTTATTTGGGGTCAGGAACCTCCATTCTAGTCCATTTGAGACAGGTGATCAATTTTCCAGGCTCATTTGAAACTACGAAGCTACATTATCTCAGCCTCACTGAGACTATGAGCCTTCATTATATTAACTTATCTGGTTCTACGGAATCGAATATCTGATCTCTTTCAGATGACTGGAAGCTAAAGTACAAAAGAGATTTAGACACCATGGGAACTCGTCTGTAAAAACGGCCTTCCGATTCGTGTTTTTTACTAGCAACTTGTAAATTCTGCTTATCTTGTGAGAGTAGCACAGAGGATTTAAAGTGAAAACCTGTCGATCTCTGAAAGGAAACGGAAAGTCAGAAAAAGCATGTTTAAACAAAATCGAATTTATTTCAGCTTGCTGCTTGAATTGACATTCCCAGTCTAGGAAAAATGTTCGATCAAGAGATCCCAATAACCCGAAAGCGAAATCCTATCTTCTGGATATTGATTATTATAAGCTTAGAAGGGAAACATGTATCTCAACAATCTTATCCTCAATACGTGCTGCAGATTGGATCGTAAATGATGACCGGCTGAAATCTTACTTGCATCTATAGGACACACTTGCGAAAATCCCATTGCTATAATCCGAGGTTTCAAGACATTCTTCGAAAAAGAATCTTTTCACAGAATCTTAGATCATTTTAGAGATTGCCAAGGAATACATTATCGGATTCCAGTATCTAGATCGCTTGTAAGATCCGTTGACTCTACCGAATAATTGGATCAGAATTTTGTGCCACAACTAAAATATATTTTAAAACGGAATTCTACGGCTATGGATGCTACCCCATGTATGCTACCCGGATACGTTACAATACTTTACTCTACAGCAATTTTGTGTTCGCACTTTCTTACTGTGGACGATAAAGCAAGATGATCTGATCGTGGCTTCCATCTGCTTTTCGATTCCTTTCGTCATTGGTGTATCTGACATTTTTCTGCATAATTCATATTCTGTACGAGTCCCATTAGTTTGGAGCGGGGTCTGAATCTGCCCATCGTTTCTGCGACAAGAAATACGAATTTATTAATAAAGAGACTACTGCTACTCTCATAATCCTTCTAAGGCCCTTTCTAGAAAGCGAACGCATGAAAATGACATGGACAATACAAAGGGCTAATTACATGGAGAATACCTGGGTAATTAGCTTTTGATACAACACAACGACATTATCCGTATGATAGTCATGTACATGGCAGTGGCTTTCCACGATAGCGGTTATGCTCTGATCCGCGTTAACTATGATTAGTGATAAAATACCGGTACAAGATGTTGTACAGCTGGATATGGAGATAAACCGAATAGAATTGTGCCATAAAATGCTACGGTCTTGTGAAGAAGTGAGGTTTGAACCGACCTATCAAGATGTATAATTCGTAACTGAGGCTGACCATATTTCAGCCTATTCCCAGTCAGTACTTGTCTTACTGACCTTGTGGCCTGAGGAAAGAACATGGTACACCAGTGAAGTCTTCTTAACAAGGAACTCCCATCGATTCAGCCTTAAGGCCACGCTGTTTCTCTTAAAAGTAGGGTACCGGTAACGAATCATCCCAAATCTCATCAACAGTATGCAAGGCTGCCATGTTTGACATGGTGCATCGGGGTAAGTTCTAGGCCAAAGAGTCCTTCAACCAATATCAGAGTTGTAATGGGGTCTCACCATACGTGGGACGACAATTAAAAGAATCTTCCGTCGTATTAAGTGGAAGATAGCCCAAATACTCCATTGCTTTCCATGTAAGTAAGTAATCGCCAATGAACGTCGGCGGTATCATAAAACGTTCACAATGCCCAATACCGCTTCAAAAATTATCCCAATTGCCAATGAGGTTGAAGAGATTGTTTCCTCCCTCCCGCACTTTTCTACACTTCCAATAATCAGACCTCGGATCCTTTAGCTTCTTATGGTTTGATTCATCGTCCAGAGAGCCTCACGAAACGTAATAACGCGCTTGGCATCTGCGACTTCAGGAGTGAATAGCAAAGCTGCGACGCATCACGATGCATGGGGAGATAGATTGTGCCTCGAGTTACGTGCAGAGGCTATACTTGCGGCGTTGAGATTTATTGTGTGATTTAATGTTGTTCAAGTCTTGTTACTATGATGGAACATTCTCGTTTCGTATGCCCCGATCTCGCTTGTCTGTAAAAGACTGATATGTTGAAACTTGTGCTGGGAAAGAGGAGAGTTCTATGAATTTTCTGCTTTATACGGCACAGGACGAACTCCTGGAGTCTTTCTGTCGACTATGGGGCGTCCTCAGATAAGCCTCCTATGTCTAGATAGGTATATTAGGGCCCATATCTCCTGTCAATAGGACGATATCTTCAAACAATTCTCTCGATAACTTCAACCATTTGAACAGAATCTGATATAACTCCCCCATCGCTCGCAGATCTAAGACTTTTGACCACCATTTGCAACTGTTTCCTCACAATATCAGTAACCTAAGGTTCTTCGAAACCTAGCTCCTAGAGACTTTACGCTACAAATTCAAGTTACATCTGTGCAGTCGTCAGAATTATGTCTTCTCGAAACTCTAGACGCTCTCAAGTTGGCCAAAGCTCAAGCTCTAGAAGTTCTAGACCCTCAGTCGCCCAAGTGAGTCGAGGAGAACATTTTATTACCCACTCTTTGTTACCAGATTCCCCCAAACTCTCTATTGCACTCATGGCCATGGCCCTAGACTATTTCTACAGCTCCTTCATGGCCTTCCAGAGGCTACAGGACTAACCTTTGACAGGAGAGCACACTTCAACTCATCGAGTCACTCAACACGCACCGTGTAAATACGCTCACGGAGCTATGCAGAATCGAGCGAATAGCTGCAGCTTCTAATCAAGAAGAGTTACTTCTCATTCGAGATCCCTTGACTGCAGCTTGGACTTACTACGTAACATCCCACAACTTACTCAATGAACTCCGCAATTTGACGCCAAACTACACCTTCAGCAACGATTTACTCGATGATGCCAAATGGAGAGTGAGTAGCGATCTGAACAACGACAGAAGTTGGAATTATGCCTGGTTGATTTTGATTAAAATACATGATGAGTAAGTCCTAGCCATTCATTCCGTGTATTATTCGTGTGAGATAAGATGGAAACATATATTGATCAATACATCTTAGTGGGATGATACAGACACACGCGGAGAGTGAAGCGGCCAAACCAGAGATGTGGGGAGGTCGATATCCAGAAGCCGAAGAGGCGACTCAGCTCGCTGCTTACTTTGCGTATGAGTGGCAGGAAGCTCTGGATCAGATGCTGAGACATTGGGAGACTCCCCCAACAAATTCCGGATACTTGTAGCATTACACCATACTTTCGTTAAATTTCCCCTTAGCGTTTTCGGTGCCGGACTTTTCTGAGTATTTTGGGATCCTTCACAGTATATATCTTGGTAGTTCCCTTTTTTGCGATTTCAAGTGGCATAGATGACATCCATAGCATCGCAAGCGAAGTGAACAGGTTCAATAGGGATCTCAATTTTCATACCTCAGGGGTAAAGGGGTGACGGGATTATTTGGAGGCAGATTAAAACGGAGCGCTGGATTTGTTTCATGGTTCTTTTCTTTATTCACATTCTTTGGGCGGAAACAGGTTTTGATTTATAAAGCTATTCGTATTTTGTGCAAACAAAAAAATAGATGAGATTTGAATTAGACTTTTTATATTCTTCACGCCATCCATTTCCAGATCAAAGAACAAAAACTCGACTAAGAGCCTACGGAAGTGCAGAGCGCCGCAAATGACGCCCCCTCCAAATAGAAAAGGAACAGAATGAATACGCGAAAACAATGATGGCAGCCCAAAACATGTATGCCACCCAGCTTTCCTATAAATTTAGGAAGGATTCCCTCTCGTAAAGTCAAGAAAACTCTTGCCAAGCTATGAATGACAACTATACCACATCACGTCATCTGGAAAGCCATGCGAGTGCCTCATGAGCCTCATTTTCTCATTACACGATGATACACGCCGCGCCAACTAATACGCGCGGCACAATTCTCAGTATGTGATTTTTTATCTATGATTGGTCGTAATGATGACACCAAGAAGCCTACAAACGTGCGCAGTTTGAGTAAGTTGAGGCTCATTTATAATTTAAGCCTTTAAGTACACGATACATTGACGCGGTACATATTGTGTGGCTGGATGCAAGACTTGAGTAGTAGAAACAGCAGGGCTGCCTCAAAGTAGAAACTCACTTTATATGCGATGGTGAGGGCACAACCTCGGTGCGAGATTGGATTGATATGCTTGATTCCTGTAAATGGTTTAAGCTGTAATGGTATATCATTGGCCTAAGTGGTGTGTAACACAAAATCTCTGACCTGTACTGTGCTGAAATCTTGAGGCCGTAGAAAGACTGGATGGATTTGTACAGCCCCTTGATTCGAAGGATGAAAGGTTCTGTAATAGAGGTCCATTGTTCTAGACTGCTTAATACAATGACAAACAAAGCCCTCATTGATTTTGTAGAATGATGGTTCAATTACAATAATAGGTCTGGAAGCTCGGTATGGGAACGTTGAAGACCGCAGTAGAACGAAAGTCCAGCACACTGGTGTCTGGACCTTCGAGTTCGTCTTCTCTTAAATTGGAAAGAAAGCATGAAAATATCCGTGTATATGTCCAAAATAAATCTGCATGTTCTCCGATTCTAACAAGGAATTTAAATCGATATATGAAACTGTATTAGGGGCTTCTTTAAGATGCTTCTATAAGACTTTTGTCCCACATCAACAGAAAGTCCATCTTATCGGCAAAATCCCATTGCTCAAAATGCCTTCCATCCGATGACCTTGCCTTCACTTCACTCAGAATTCACAAAGACTGTTTATGAACGATGACAATGTAATCTTGGTATTACCGTCGAGATGACTACTAGGTAGTGATCAATAAAGTGAATACTGTAATCTGTGAATTCACCTTTAATATATTTGATGCCTTGAGGCCTCATCCCTTGCTTTCTCGTCCGGACACTCTCGAGGGCCAGAGAAAAACAATTTCCGCTAGTGAATCGATGGACAGAAAGTTGAAGGAACGTATCTCCTACGCCAATTTTTTTCTCAACTTTTCTTTTACAAAACAACAACCATCCAAGATGTTTCCCATCATGGTGTCCCCCGTCATCTCGTCTTCCGAGCCAGCCAAGGAGAACAAACTTACCAGAGCTTGGAAAAGAGTGTCCGGTGAATCTCAAGCAACCGATTCGAAATTTTCTGGCGAAAAAATTTCAAGTGATTTGAGACGCACTTCAACGGTCAATTCTAAAGGAATGAAACCTCCTCTTGAACCACACAAAAGACGTGCCAGCGTACAGCTGGAGCCGACTACGAAGAAGATGGACACCGTTGGAGAAGAAGCCGCCGGTGAACTTGGGGGTTTTGGTGGACTTGGAATCAATTTCTATGATCATCTTGGTAACAAAATTGCGCCACAGGCAATTGTACCTCCTGAAATACCAAGAAGTCAATCTCCTCAAATACCAAGGACTCTATCTCCTCGAGCGCCGGGTACTCAGAAGCCCATTTCGCCGCTTCCAAAGGGTACGTGCCTTCTTTCCTTCGTCATATATTGCCCTACATCGCCTTACCGCAAAAACCTACCTTTGACAGACGATTAATTGTTGTGCCGTTCTGCAGATCCGCCTGTCGTTGCACAATCACCTTTGGTAATTCGCGAATCTTTCACTCGGAATTTCAGCTTTCCTGAAAATCCAGATCCAGAAGCTATTGTCGATAGCGACGCTTTCCTTGGTAGTCTTCTCGAAAGAACCCTACGCGAGCAATCCGAAGCTCTTTGTCCAAGTCCAACGGGGAGCAGAAAGAGCTCTATTCGCCTCATTACACCAAAGAGTAGCCGTCAAGTATCTGCTGCCAAGCCAATTACAACTTCTGGTCCCTTTGGAATGAGAAATTATACGGCACCAATGAATATAACTTCTTCGTCTGAGCTCACGTATACACCAACCCGAGGCCCAAAATTAGGTATCACAACATCATTACCACATTCGCGAATTTTGAGCTTGCGAACACCGAGCGTTACTGAATCAGAAGTGGTAGATTATTTTAATTCTGGAGCTATCAGCAAAGAAAATAGTGGTTTTAGTCCCGAAGCACTAATAAATGAAACGCCGTTCCCACTAAATTCGAAGATTTACCGAATCCCATCATCCCCTACAATTGCCAAGCGCTCTTCCCGAAATAAGCCGTCTAAGCCACAACGTGGTGAGCTTTACTTCTTCGAACACGAACGACAGAAGATTGAACAACTCGTTGCGCAAAGTAAAAATCGAAACTGTACAGAGCATCAAAATTGTACCGATTGTATTGAGAAGGAATACGCATATTACGAGAACAAAATCATGTCTACTTCAATGCCCCCAGAACGTCGCCAACAGATCATGAAGGCCAATAGATCTATTCGCAATATCAAGAATGTGAGTTGAACTCTTTCTCTTGGTCTTCCGATTATGCTAATAATTCACAGGAGCTTGAAAACCTTCTTGAAGATGAACTCATTACTTACGAGGTGTATGAGCTTATGGTTAGCAAACTTCCCTCGGAAAACACCTTGAACTCGACCTCCTCCCCCGCTCCTCGTGCCAACGCTGCCGCTCCAGCACCAGTTGCACCAGTCGCCGCATTCTCACAATTGAATGTCAATAACGATAACCCTCCACCATCATACCAATCTACTCCAAACCTTCCTCCCCGCGGACCAACCCAACCACCTGCTCGACCAGAAGTCGGACGTGCCACCGCTCTTTACCGTTATACCGAACCCGAAGACTGCAACTTCGATGTTGGTGATATTATTATCATCTACGAATACATGAATGATGATTGGTGGATGGGCAAGAACGAAAAGACTGGAAGAGAGGGTGTGTTCCCATCGAACTACGTCCAGAAGCACCAAAACCAGTCTCCCCAGGGCGCCTATTATGGCAACGAGAAGGCCACATACAACCCATATGGCTCTCAACAACAAGGAACCGTGCCACCCGGACCAAGCAACCCTTACAATAGCTCCGTTCCCCCAATGGCTGTCGCAGAACAACCTACTGAAGAAAAGTCCAGCAAGGGTGGAGAGATGGGTAAGAAGTTTGGTAAGAAATTGGGCAATGCCGCTATCTTCGGTGCTGGAGCTACGATCGGTGGAAACATTGTCAACTCGATTTTCTAAATATTCTGGTTGCCATACTTTTGCAGTAAAGATTTTCCGACGCCTGTTTAACAATTACTTGGGGGTAAAAGATAGACGTTTCCTATGTCCAAGTATCGATAGGGGTTTGAATTATTTACAGCTGGCTTCTTCACTCTAAAGGGTCACTGTTTTCGAGTCAGGAGTTTTCTTATATTACGGCAATGCATGTTTTGATTACAGTGTTGCTCTTTTCGGTTTCATATACTCGGAGTTCTGGCAGGAATTGAATCCTTTTCTGTATTCGCGGGTTTTGCACCATCTATGAAAGGACTACTGGACTTTCTTAATATTGTGTTTTGGGATTCACATACAGATTACTTTCCGGTTATACCTAGAGATACCTGAATAAAACGAATCTTTCTTTTTAATGATGAACATTTCACCAATATATCATTACGACACGTGAATCTTGATAGTTTCTCCTTTACATGGACAATGAGCCACATCACGTGTAGATAGCAGATAGATAACGGCATTAGAAGTTGGTCGACGTCACTGTCGCTGTTGCCCCGCATTGCATAGAAGTCTTAGTGTTTATCAATATCCCACCTGTCCATGCTTTCAATCCTCCTCGTTCTTCCTCTTTACACCGACCAACAATTCCAAAAGACGCATTATCACATCAAAACCCAAGTGCTCCGAATACAACCACAATGCAAGCTCAACATGGACACAGCGCAGCTTGCTGCAACATCCCACCTATTGTATCCAAGGGTTATGAACAAAAGGGAAAATATGAGACTATTGGTGGTTTAAAAACTTGTAAGCGTTCGGTTTCAATTGAATATCAAAACGAATCTACTACCATATCAGTCAAATAATCTTGGCTCCAAACCTTTGCGCCATCTCACCATGCTCCCTTTCACCCTCACCTCTCAGCTTTAGCTAATACAACCCCCTTCCAGACGTTACTGGCCCAGCGGATGCAACAAAGGCCATCTTCCTTATCTATGATATTTTCGGCTACTATCCCCAAACCATTCAGGGCGCTGATATCCTCGCCAATGCCGACGAACATAACAAATACCTCGTTTTCATGCCAGATCTCTTTGAGGGAAACCCAGCTGATATTAGTTGGTATCCACCTGACAATGAAGAGAAACAACAGAAGTTAGGTAATTTCTTCCAGACGACGGGAGCTCCACCAAAGGCTGCTGGAAGAGTTCCGGATTTAGTCAAGGCTATGGGTGAGAAGTATTCATCAATTGAGAAGTGGGCTGTCCTTGGGGTGAGTGACTTTCTGATTGAAAAGTTCTGTGACTGAGGATGAGGTTGAAGGTCTGTGGATTGAAGCTGTGTAGCTAATGTGTGTTCAAAATAGTTCTGCTGGGGCGGTAAAATTGTCTCCCTTACTACCTCTGCTTCTTCCAATCCTTTCGTGGTAGCTGCCGAGTGTCACCCCGCGATGGTTGATTCCAAGGATGCAAGCAACATCAAGATTCCTACTATTCTGTTAGCATCGAAAGATGAAGATGCGGAGGAAGTGAAGAAGTTTGAGGCAAATCTCACTGGGGAGAAACATGTTGAGACTTTCAAGGATCAAATTCATGGGTATGTTACTTCTACTCTATGTGCAATTTCTATGTGCTGATATCTGTGGAATAGATGGATGGCTGCACGATCGGATCTCGAGGACGAGAGAGTCAAGAGCGAGTATGAGAGAGGATATAAGACTCTCATTGAGTTCTTCGGGAAACATCTCAAGTAGGAGCTCTCTTCTTGTCTTTTGGGCCTATTGAATCCATTAAGAAAGCTCGCTGAGGTCTGTAGGACCAATAAAACTAGCGGAGCAAGACTTTAATAGGGATTCGGTGAATATTTAATCATAGTGCACTTTTTTGTTTGCAAACAAACAAGCATTTTGGAACGCCTTGCACCGTAAGCACCAGTGGAGACTGTTCTGCCCGCTGTTAAAATGACTGTGATCACTAAGTTCATAACACCCAACACTCATTGCGCTAATTTACAAAATTCAAATGATAGAGCCTGCCATGGGCTTGCTGACTTTGTGTGAATCATCATTGTGCAATTAACTATCTAAATCGATCTTTCTCCTATTGGGACGGCCGTGGATCATAACCTTCACTTTTTGTGCCTATCCTTATCTCATGGGACCGCGTATAATCACGGTTCTTCACTTTCCCTCCCCCTCCAAGACCACCACTTAAGCAACAACACTTGGTTCATAGTACACACAGCACATCCCTTCAACCCCCAAAGTCTTTGCCTCGCCCTTGAACCATTTATGTGCTTCACACGAATCTTCGTAATATTCCATGTCTTCCAGATTCTTAAACTCAGTCTTTGCGACCACGGAGAAACCTTGGGTGCGGGGATCGTTGGCTTGAGATTCGCCAGCTTGTAGGGAGAGGATATACGGGCTGAGTCCTAAAAGAGAGTGTTAGTTGGTTATGACGGGGAGGGAATGGACATGATTGAATACCTTAACGGCCTTTTTGGATAAGGTCTCGTAGTTCTTGAGCATGGTGTCCCGGGATGCTTGAGAGGGCACTTTGAACATGGTTATGCGGATTATGCCTGCCATTTTTGCTGTGTATAGAATGAGTGAGGCTTGAGGATCTTGAGATGTGTGAGATGGATGTGAAGTTATTATTAATCGATCGATTGCAATTTTATGATTTCAATTTGTAAAAAAAACAGAAAGGAAAAGAGAATCAGAGGAGCACTCGGCCGACTTGCTTTATATATCAAAGAACTTGTGGAGGGCTTCGAACTACCAAGCTACTAATGACTATTATGAATGAATGCCTTGCACCAATTGATAACAGAACGGATATTTGCGGCTTCGGCTGACGAATTCAAAAGCAATATGCAATTGAATTCTTCCAAGCAGTGAAGCTGGGCTTAACATGGATAGCAATGCGTGCTTGTGCGACCCGAGGGTATCAGAGCGATGCTGAGCTGAGTAGTTGGTGGGGCAGTGGTTTGCATATGTATGAAGTCGTGGGAGCTTGGAGTGGTGGGTGCTTGTGAGGGATGGTGGGTCGAGAGGGGTTTGTGGGGACGGAAATGTTTCCGCGAGATGGGGATGATATCTAAAGATTTGAGGGCGAGATTGAAGATATAAAGAGATACATTGGAAGTTGTTCAAGTGTATGGTATCTTTTGTTGATTTTCGCATACAGAGTAATACTCTTGTTCTCAGCCAATGATCAAAATCTCGAAGCTCATCAATGCCGGTTTGATGAGACGCGCCGATGATGTACACTAACGCGTCGATAACGCATATCAAATCAACTGATAGGGTCATCGAAAGTTTTGTCTTATCCATCCAAAAGCGTGCGATCTCAGAAGGAGAAGCAATCTATTGGTGATGTGGATGTATTGGACATCCAAGTTTCTGCAGAACAAGGCTGTCTGCGGGTCATTCAAGGTAGGATTTGGTGCAACCCCAGCCTCAGCGGAGTTATAACTCAAGTGATACCCCGCAATGACTCGTTGAAGGCGTTGATGATTCTTGCGATTATTGTTTCATTAATATCGCTGTGTGCCAAAACTTTTCATCTTTCTTAGAAATAGCCCGTTATGGAAAGCCAACTTTCAAATACGTCGGACGCTCTGGACGCGATTAAATCCCTATACGAAACGGGAAAATATGCAGATATGAAAATTCGCTGCGAAGAGAAAGTGTTCGACGTTCATCGTGCGGTAGTTTGCATCCGATCACCGGTGATTGCTGCAGCTATGGATGATGATCGTTGGGTATGTTACAGTCCAGCTTAGGGTGATGTGCATTTTCTTACCAAACTCTAGGAAGAAGCTGCAAAAGGCGAATACCACATGAGTGATGAGGAGCTGCCAATTGTGGAGGTGATGATTAAGTATTTGTATTGTGGAAGTTATGATGATCAGGTAGCCTTGGAAAGTAAAGCTTCGAATGATGATTCACAGGTTGGATTGCCGTCGAGTCCCCCCAAACAGGTGACAGGAACACTCGCAAATCCATCGAGCCAACCACGTGAAATTAGGTGGTCGGATTTTGCAAGATCCGGAGGATCCGGACTGAATACTGCATTTGGACAGGCGGATCCTCAAGTTGCTCCCATTACGAAACCATCATCATTACTCTTCAACGCCAAAGTGTACATTATCGCTGATAAATACATGATCCCAGCTCTCAAAAGTCTAGCACATGAGAAATTTACAAAAAGTCTGAGGGAACATTGGAATACTCCAGAGTTTACTGCCAGTGCAGAGTTCCTCTGGGAAAACACTCCTGGATCTGACATGCTTCTTCGGAGAGTTCTGGTTGCGACTGCTGCGACTCACATAGATGTTTTACTTGATAGAGGAGAGTTTGTCGAGTTTATGTCAGAACATGGAGATTTTGCTGTGGGGGTTATGAAGAAGATGAAGGGAAGGGATGACTCGGTTGTGGCTACTCCCAATGTTGATCAAGGGGCCAGGAATTCCGGAAAACGTAATGTGGTGGTGCTACCTAGACATGTGAGGCAATACATCTAGTATTATGACGAGTTACCGACAATTGTGATTCTTTGAGGTCAGTGGCAGTCATATTTGTGTACCTCTGAACGAGCTAAATGAACTGTTCTTTCCGAAAGTTTTCATGATACTTGTGTATGCAGAGTGGAAGAAGTAGAGTCTCAACCGATCGCTATTGTAAACAATCTCCAAGACCATGAAGTTCTACCAAGGTTTCCAAGCCATTGACACATAAAGCAACTTAAGTAACACCAAGTCGTATGACTTTGCTTGACAAATATGAGTAAGCTAGTCACCGACTCAAGTTTGAATCAACCTACAATCGAAGACAGTCACATTAAACACGTGACTTTGGCGCCCATATGCTTGCGATCTCTTCGTCCACGACTTCTCTTCTACAACAAATCATACGAACATATTTTGATCAGCGATATTCAATAATGGAAATGGTTATGAGAGAATCTGATCGATCATTATCTCGAGAGAGCTTTGCAAATACAGAAAACGAAGAACACACATTGATTGAAAATTTAATGGAGAGTGCATCAGTATCACGTCTATCATCGGCACAGGGAAGTTTGGCGCATGACGAAGACGAGGAACGCGATCATGTATTGAGAGATGAAAATGCAACGATGAAGACGTTAGCGGCGGATTTTGATAGGCAATCATTAGGGGAGGAGAGCTTGCCAAAAGTACGGCGACAACACAATATTGGGATGGCGTGTAAATATTGTGTATTATGTCAAGCCCAATTTCCCCCCTTTTTTTCAGAAATTTCGGGTATTAATACTTTCTGGAAATGGCGACCAAAACGACAAGTGCAACCATGGGAGTACAAATTCCGTGCCGGTAAGCAAGCTGTTTGAACGACATATTTCTTAAGTTTATTGGCAGATGTTGACGCCAATTTTAGTCATTGAAATAAATAGAGATGATGAAGAAGAAGAAGATATTGGGATAACGGGACTGATGACCTTTCCAGAAGGTGATAGTCAAGAAAAGCTTGTGGCATTGATACCTTCTTCATCGACCGAATTTCTTTTAAACACAGTTTACAGTCCAGATAACCCACCTTATTGTGAAGCGTTTTGCTTCCATGATTGGTGTTATTCGATTCTTCGCTGGAGGCTGGGAAAGTATAGCGATGCTACTTTACATAAGGTTTGCAAAAGTCTTTCAATCTCCCCGGCGTGGGAGAATATCGCAGAGTCTGAAGCTTGCTTGTATGACCAGGTTGTCAGAAATAACCTATTGTCAGATATGACCGAGCTTGGTCCAAAGTACCAACCTTTATTCTTGTCGAAGCTACCCCTAGAGTTGAGAGCACTTATCTGGGGATATGTCGGCCCATCATCTGCTTATAGCTCGTTTATGATCGTGGCCAGCGAAACATCACGTTTGTTTTATAAGATGCATCGTCCAGCACAACTTGCTTTGGTATTATACCCCAAATCACATCTTGTTCCAAAAATGATTAGGATCTTCGGTACAGATTACATACAGAGCCTCTGTGCTGAGTCAACCACAATTCCAATCACCGACTCAGCAATTGCTTGCTCCTACAAACTCGCAATAGGAACTCACGGTATATGTGCAATCCAGATAATCAGTGAGGATGGATCTTCTTATTGGGTTGGTAAAGTCCCTGCATCTGGTCTCCTTTGGTATGTCGACGCCCAACGAGATTTTCGCAGAGACGTTAAGCTCCATTACACTTTCAAAGTTAGTATTTTACTACTTAAGAGCTTGATAAAAGAACTAAATCTAGCAGGGTCTCAATATAGATGTACGCAAAATGCAAACTTTCAGAGACGGAATATGGGACAGAGTTGATTCACCAAAATGGTCACAGGGAGGGTCATTCTTGAATTATATTCGTCGAGATGGGTATGGCTTATACAGATACATCCCATTCTATAGTGGATATGAATACATTACAGGAATAACGATTCACTATCATAAGGAATTTGTTACTGGGATGGAAGCTTATTATGGGAAAATCACTGAGCTCACAGGACTTTACAGCGGGGTGGCTCTTCACTTACCTCTGGAGTTCAGTGAACGCATATCTTATGTATGGATCAAGCTCGAGGAAAATAGAATTCAGCGCTATTACGATCCAGCATTCATTGTTAGTTCTACACACATGGCTTCCCTCCTGGTGCTCAATAGCTTATACCAATTTAGATCCAAACCACACATGGAAGGACATGTCATCTGGGGCCGTATGTCCCCCATGATGAGTACAAATTCTACCAGTGGAATCGTTTGACATTTCATGGACAAATCACGGGAATTTGTGTTGAGAATTTTGAATGGACCTTGAAGAACTTCAATATCATCAGTGATGGAAATGAAGTGGAGCCTATGCAACCACTACTTCACTACGAGACACCAAAACAACGACCTTACATCTACCTTCCTCAAAATTCCAAATATGGTGACTATGATCTTTATTTTAGTTCTGCAAAGTTTTCCCAGATGAAGAGGGTAACTTTATGCAGGATTAATGAACGCTGCATGGGGATTCTAATACATTACCTGTTTAAACCGCCTGTCGTTTTGGGGCAATGGTATAAACCAGAAGTATCAAGTCATCAGATCATATACGATAGAAGCCATCCTCCGCCTTCGAAAATAATGTTCCGATCGGCACGATTCGAGAACTCCGAAGAAGGTTTTGTGGTAGATGTCAGTTTCACACAGGAAGAACTTCCACCTATTGATATGAATGATCAAGTACAGGTATTTGATCTTGCCCTTGAACAGGTTCGAAATCCATGACGCAATAGTTTCTTATCGAATATTACTGACGGTTGATAGCATATTGCCTGGTGGTTCACAAACTCCACGGATCTTATTAGCCTCTGGAATCTAGGCGAAGAGTCTGCACAAGGTGTAGAAATGAGAGAAATTATCTGTCGGGATCACGAAATCCAGTATAGCATAATTCGAAACCATTATGTAACATAAACATCATAGAAAATGAAATTTCAATCTATAAGAACATAATCTTCTGGCTTCAGAGTATTCCCGTTTCAATCTCATACTATAGCGCTGAGATCGATTTTGTGTTGTCTTCTCGTAATGTCCCCTCTTCACAGCACTGTTGCTAGACCCCAAATCACAATGCAATAATTACGACTAGCAATGCCCGATTGATGTTAGCAAAACACCTTCCGCAAACTGTTATTTCAAACGCAGTCTGATACAAGAATCACATCCACCAAGGCGACTATTTGTGTTCGATCAGTACCAAAGTCAAATCAGATAAGCTGTCTAAATTATGGTTGGGTGTCTTCGTACTCGAACATCGCATTTCGATTGCATGAGTAACACTTGGTTATTACTGTGGATTGTATAATCAAATTCCATATGCCATCTATAGGTTTGTTAATTTCTGGAGTGAAGAGGAGAAGAGAAAATGTCTTTGACGCTGTATTACCGTACCTTCAGGCTTGTGTTTCCAGAATCCATGGTCAATCTACTGCTGGCTACAGAAATAAATATAAATTGCAGGCCAATTTTAGCAATGGCAGTAGCACTTTTTTGGTGTTGTAGTATGCAGTAACTGAATCAATAACTCCAAGATTTCCTTCATTAACCAATAGAAAGAAAAGATAACGTATTTGGTGATTTAGACGAAGTGTTTCACGTTCCGCCGCTGATTTTGAATGGCTGGTGGACGTTTACTGTACCCAAGTATGCGGGGGATGATGTAGCCGCGCGCTATCGATTAAGGTTGCCCTGCAGAAGCTGACAAACCGTAGGACACTATGCTCATTAAATTCTATCAGAGGTTCAATCAACGGTAGATAGATAATTCTGTTGATATATCTAATAGCACCTCGAATGAACAGATTGATAATACCCCAGATATCTTCAAAAACACAGCGATGGAAGGCGAGAATGATCATGACATGACCCCGCAAAGTTCGACTGCAGTGGTCGGGGAATCACGCAATGATAACGAGATAGTGAATTCTGATTTCGTCACCCCGTACGATGGAATCGATTCACCTGCCGAGAATGCAGTTGATGAAAGAGAAGAGGGGCCCGAGACCTTCAGAGCCGAACATGAAATGTCAGGTAGCCAAAACGAAGATGAACAGGAAAAAGAGAACGATGGAGCATCTGTTCCACTTGCTTATGCCCAGGCGAGTGAATACTGTATCCTCTGTCGAGCTCGACTTTTTCCTTTTTATTTTGTAAATGAGCCAAACCGCCGACGATATCAAGAATGGCTTTCCGAAAATCCAGCCGAGCAATGGCAGCTGAAAACACGCGCAGGTATGTTGTTTGTCAAAAATGTTGACACCGCAGCACTGACATCTGTTTTAGTCATGAATCTCCGATTGGATGATCATGAGAGTCCCGTCATGACAAAAGTTTTCATGTTTGATTCTCTAGCAGTCGACACCTCTTTAGTTGGTCATCCTGCATATAGGAGAATTGTTCTGGACCCCCGTCCAGATCTAGATGATTATATAGACACATCTGCTCATTGTTTCCACGATTGGTGCTATTCAGTTTTAAGTTGGAAAACAAAGCAAAATAGTGCCAAATTTTTGTTTGAATTGGGTAGGAACCTCAATACTTCGACTGTTTGGGAGAAACCTGCTGAATGGAATGGTCCACTCTACCCACAAATCGACATTAATGCCTTACTCTCTACAGCCGACGATGGATTCGCAAGGCTTCAACCATTGTTTCTCTCAAGACTTCCTGTTGAGATTCGTTCTCGAATTTGGAGTTATGTTGGATCCGAAACAGCCTATTCTGCATTTTTGTTAGTGGTTGGGGAGACATCACATTTAGCACGGCAGATCTCTCAACCAACTACACAGCTACTCCCTATCTAACCAAATTGTTATATTAGAGCACTATTCAATGAGGTTTACGACACAGAAGACATCCGAGCCTCAGCCCAAGATACAAAATCCAGTGGTGGAATTGAAATTTTACAAACAGTGACCGAGATCGATATCGTTTCAAGTGTACACGGCATCTACGCCATCAGATTTTCGGGGTCTAGTTGGACGTCTGAGTGGCTGGGCAGGATTCCTCAAACAGACCATTCCTGGTATGGCACAATTCAGGTAGACGACACCAACTTATTGATATACTCCCATAATGTAAGCTTCCTTGATTGTTCATCTCTGAACGAGGTCTAATACGTCTCCGCCTTGGCTTACCGGACTGCTGGAATTTTTGAAAATTCCGGGGTTCTCGGGAGCCAATGATGTTTAGCCCCCCAAATATCTCGAGGCATGTGCTAATTCTGCAGGGGAGGCTCGCTAAAGTAGGTGAATTGAGTATCGCGCGGTTATGCAGCATAAATTTTTGTTCATTGGGTCTGATCTTTTGGTATTGAAATGTGCTGAAGATTAACAAAGCATCTTTTGTACCTCAAATGGTTATTGCAGTGATTAGCCGTTTGCTAAGGTGTTGTGTTCTTAGTACCTAGGAGTCCGAGCAGTTCGTAAGTTCGATATCCGAACAAGCGAAGTTTAAGTTTTGGTTTAGTCATCAGAGGAAAGCTTAGGATAAGTGGAATGAGCATGTTTTTCAATCAAAAAGTAAAGGTTCTGATATTTTTAATCATCATCTAATGCGTTGTCAGATTCAAAGCTAATCTTCATCTCTCCCCCCTCTCCCCCAAAATCTTAATTATCGTTCTCAAAAGTTTCTCCGGCATATGCACCAACCATCGCTCCTCTATCCCCAACCCCGCTAATCTCTTAACCATCGCCCCTCTCCACATATCCAAGATCTCCTGTACCCGCACACCTCCCTCCTCGCAAACCCCCGGATTCACAACCCCATATTCTCTCCCATGCAAAATCCTAAAATTATCCCAAACATGCACTTCCCCAGGCTCCATCACCATTTTAACGCATGAGAATTCCTTCTCCCAGTCGTCTGGAGTTTTCGACATGCAGCGCGTGCTTTGGGATACTCGTCATAGGAACAGAGAAGTGAGGAAGTGTGTTGAGCGTTGAAACGGAATGTGTAGGGTGTAAGCGAGAATGGGTGTCGGGTAAAGAGAGATGTGGTGGTTAGTTGATAGGACGAGGAAAGGGGGTTGGGGCTGGGATTGGGATTTGGACCGCTTATTGGAAGGGGAATGGAAGAGAGATAGGGGAGGAGGTGCGGGGATCCTTCTTTGGGGGTGGAGAGGATGGTGGGACAGGATACGAAGGTGTGAAGTGCATTTTATTTAGATATCTGGCTTTGGAAGATAAAATATGGATCGCGGGGCAAAAGGTTTTTGGTATTCATGGGAACGGGATCTGATGGAAAAAGATGTTGCTTATGAGGTTGATTCTGTTTATTGTGGGTGCGTTTTCCAGGCTTGGGATCATGGGTTTGAGACTCCCACTCCGTCAGAAGTGCTACATAGCATCATAAGTCTCATTCCTATGGATTTCTGGTATCACAGTTCAGCCACGGGTCTGACCTAGAGACACATGGTTTTACACGTAATCTTCCCAAAAACGTAAATATTCATGAGATCCTGCTATTTCGTGCTTCTTTCTAAGCCAAAAAAAAATCTGGGTGTATAGATATGAAAAGCTAACAGAAATTAGAAGAGGCGTCTTGTTCTCTCTTCGAATCTGAAGCGCTCATGACCAACGAAAAATAAATCTACCATTCTCCAAACAATAAATATACATATGCATAAAGAAAGCCCCGTATCTCGTCCCACGAACCTTTAGTTAAGAGCAATTGGACATCCCAAATTTCCAAATGAAGGATCCAATTTTTTCATGACAAATGCAAGTGTGCTAATGGAAGGAGTAACAACACTATTCAAAGAAGAAGGAACATTTTGAGTAGCAAGTTGATAGAGCAAGCAAGAAGCCTCCAGAGAACCAGGCGTTGCAATCAATGTTCCGTTTTTGATGCAACCAAAATTGACAAGATCAAAGCCACCATTTCCGGTAGCACCACCGAACAAAACCGGTTCTTGGAGATACAAAGCAAGAATCTCATTTGTGACGTCGGTATGGGAATATGGGGTGACGCGGTTTGTCCAGTTATCTGGGATTCTTTCCTCGCCCGTGAAAGAATATGAGCCATCTGAATTCTGCTTAGCACCGAAGAATGAAGAAATGGTATGATAGTCTGGTGTGTAATTTTTTGTTCCAGATGGCATCAACTCATACAAGAAAGAGGCAGCACCAAAGAGGAGCAGAGAAGTGGGGCCGAAATAGAAATTTGGGTTGTCCTTGAGAGATTGTTGGTAACGCTGGGCTCGGTATTTAGCAAGTCCGTCACGATTGTAATTGCCACCGGTCGTTTCCGTCATCATTCCAAACAGTGTTCCATTAAATGAATAATTATCACCATTAGCAAGGAAATGATCGTTGCGTGTGAGGGATGTATCACCCTCGAATTTGTTGTGTGCATTCAAGCCAGGTTCTGAACCACCCGTAGCTGGTAAAAAATATGTTCTTGAAGTGGCATCACACCCGATGGAAAGTTTTTCGGTTACGATATCGCCATCGGTTAACGTAAGGCTGAGAACAGCAAGAATATTGGCCAATTCATAGCCAACGTTATATAAATTCTGTTGAGCATCAACAAGCTCATTATATGTTGTAATGCCATCTCGAGCAAGAAAATTGTGATTGGCAGCCGCATTCAACCCTGGACAAGGCCCACGAATATCAGTCGATTTTGGAGCGATGAATTGATGATCAGTATCTCCAGGAGCTGGAACCTGATACCCACCCTTCCCTTTTCCTGGAAGGCCATTCTTAGCACCGTTATATGGGTAATCATCTGAAATACCCGGAGCATTGATGTGATTTGCATTGAATGGGCAAGAAGTAGTGTCTGTTTGCTGCTGTTTCTGTCTGTGTAATAGACTAGAGTCGACACCAGGCATTTTGGCAACAAACGGAAAAGCTGTAACAGCTCCAACCATGAGGGTCGCTGAAATAAAAGAATACTGCATCATGAAATATGTGTAATGTATAAATCCAAAGATTGCTTGGTATCGTGATGGATGAATGCAATGATGATGAAGGAAGGATGACGAGGGAGTATCGAGATGTAGAGTAATTCGCCTACCAACTGAACGCCCTGGAAAACCAACGACTGAACCTACCTATACCAAGATTATTCTAGCAGAACTCTTCCCTCAGGGGCATCCAAAGTTTAATTAGCATTATCGAGATAAATCCAGACTACAGACAGATTTAGCACTTTGAAAGCGGTGAAACAAAAATTGTTCAGTCGACAGGTGAAACCTATAAATACAAGTCTTCTTGTGTATCCATATATGTTTGAGGAAATCATTCCTTTTTCTTCGTGCTCGTTACCATCAGCCAATGTAAAATCAATTGAAAATTTTGTTCTCGGCAGATTTCTAAAGCCACGCTTCACTTAGGATAGAAAGAATGAGCTTCTTCAAAAAGTATGTGTAGAAACTCCATGAATAGAGGAAATAGATCTCCTGCTAAGGTGAATTCTTTGTCAGCAGAATTTCTACAGACCAACTGACTATTGAATGATCAACAGCAGTAGCTTGAACCATGTATTCATCGGAAATTTGAATCTGGTATCATCCAATTTATCGCAATGAGAATCATGGGGAAGATTTACTATACCACCACTGCATGACATGTAATCGAGCACCTAGGTGTCCGATTCGTTCCTGTTTGTTAGATAGAACAATGAATCCAGCTCTGATTCCAATCTGCTCATTCCGTGCTCCAGATGACACACTAATAAACAGCAGCTAAACTCGGTACTAGTGAGGCAGCACATTCTCTTCTCCTTCAGCTTCACGATATATTATTTTGCAGTCGGTCGAGAGAAACCGTACTCATAGAGGGGACCCTAGCCCTCTATCAGTCCTTCTACCCCGCGTTGTACCCCGCGTTGTACTGCTCGATAATGGCGAGCAAAATAATGGGAGTAGAACTAGCAGACGAGTGATGTTTTAGTGAGGCAATTCCGTATCTTGGCTTCAAGCTCATAAGATTGCATATGAGCTCGCTGGTACCCTCGACTCAAACAACTAAGTCTGAGTGCATAGTATAGCAGTAACAGGCTTTCGATTGGAGTGCACCGGATTCTTGGGATCCACAATCGAATTGAAGGTTGAGGTAGAACAAAAATGGAGACTTTTCATGATTGTTCTCGACTACCCATTATTTGAGCTTGTAAATAAGCTTGTCTCGGTCAGCGGCAGTGATCGACAATTACCAGATTACAGTGGAGTGATCATCTATGTCTGGCGCCAACGTCAATCAATACAATAATAGGTGGAACATAAATTCGAATCATTGACCCGACATGTAAGAAGGTAAGTTTTCATTGAGACAGTCAATTTAAAATCAGTTACCACAAGTGATCTCTTTGCAGCAGAGGAGAAAACTTGGAAGATTGAAAACTTCGTAGCTAGAAAAATAGAACATGCCGAATTAATCATTCCGACAGGAATAGAACGAGTCTTCCGTTGCCAGACAACATTCGGAATGTTCTCGAATCGAGTAAAATTTTGACGATTGCCTGATGTTGGAAAACCAGTGAAAGATGAAATTATGGCCATTGAGAGTGAACAGACAGATCCTTTCCCGGCTATTAGTATCAACTATCCGACGAGAGAGTGCTGTTATTGAATCTGTGACAAGGAGCTAGATGTGTATCTATTGAATGCTGTCTAGAATAGCTAGCGAAGTGGTGGGATAGCGGTCTGGCGCCGATAGAATCACACCATCATAATCAATTGCTCGAAAGCTCTCTCTCTGAGACTATTATACCACAAAGTCAAATTCTAAGTTTTGTTATCTTCTAGTATGTTGAGATGTCTTTTTGTTTAGCAACTGCGGTTCGTTGTTTCGAAGTAATGGAAGAACTGTGATACACACACACAAACACTTCTCATGAAAGTCGTTGCTACACATCGTTCGACGGTAAGTGCACCATCAAATACTCAGGAGGTTACAGCTCACGTAGGAACAGCTGATGAAAATACGTCTTTTGTGATATTGTGCATCATTCCGACACTTCATTCGCATTTAAATGATGTAGCTGGGTAATGGTTGATTCGGGAAAATGGTAACTTCGAGATTGTTCTGATCAACCTGATCAATCTCAAAAGAACCACGTTGACTAGTCAACGTGTTTGAAGCCAAATATTGTTTGAGGCTATTTCGAA